ACCCAGCAGTATAAATGGGTACACTACGGCTAGTCGATCGGCGTTTAGTGGGGTAAAGCAAGGCCGTAGCCATGGAGTCAACATTGGGGGCGACCAAATCTTCCAGAGCGCCCCCCCTCCAGAAAAAAAAAATTAAATTTGAAAAGAATTTCCTGCCTAAAATATAAAAAAAAAAATTCACTAACACATAGGATGGACTTTTTTTTTTACAATAATGTCTAATAGTGTATTGTATTACATTGCTTGTTTATCTTTTCTTGTTTTATTGTATGTAATGGCAGAGATTAGGGATTCATAAAGTACAACCATAACCACAATCATATAAACAGAAATCTATTTCATAGCAATATATTGGGGGGGACATTTTTAGCATATTTGAATATTGGGGGGGATGTGTCCTCCCCAATATATATTATAATTACGGCCTTGGGGTAAAGTGTGAATACTCACATCTCTTCCGAGACATCTGGCCAGCGAGAACGGCCTGTATTAAGCTCAATTCTGTCAGCGGTGGTGTGAGCGAGGCATTACATTGCCTTTTACCTCCGATTACCACGGTTGGCTCCGTACGCTGCAGAAATAAGTTCAACATACGTGCATTTAGAAATGGCAGAGATTGAGTGCCTGTATTGGATAGTGTGTAAGAGTTGCAACCATCTTGGGTGTCACCCGAGGTTTAACGAATTAGCCCGAACCAACCGCACGGTGGACATCTCGCGTTGCCACCTCTCGGGAGATTATGAACAACACATGGGGACACATCATGTTAAGAATATCTCACAATGCCATAAGAGGGAACACAACTGGTTGTCATCGCATTGTCTTGAGTGGTGCATTATTATTTTTTATTATTTCACAACTGATAAAACCTTACTCTTTGGTTTTTTCGGCAAAGTCACATAGGTAAAAAAAATAAAATAAAATAAATGAAAACTAAATTAAATCACGACGTTTCGGGCGCTACACAAGCGTCCTTCTTCAGGTGGGGACAACGTAGTGAAAGCACAAACGCTTTAAGTGTGTCTCAGAGATGGCTGTGACGAGGGATTATATAGTCGCGGGGCATGGAGAGAGGGGGGGGGGCATGGAGAGAGGGGTGGTAGCCTGGAAAAAAAATTCCTCGTCACAGCCATCTCTGAAACACACTTATTAAGCGTTTGTGCTTTCGCTACGTTGTCCCCACCTGAAGAAGGACGCTTGTGTAGCGCCCGAAACATCGTGATTGAATTTAGTTGTTTTCATTTATTTTATTTTTTACTTACGTGACTTTACCGAAAAAACCAGAGTATGAATCCTTGCAGTCACGAAAGCTTCAAATGTAGAATGATAAAACCTTGCTCTCTAATGTTCCGGGAAGACTTGCATATTTTGCAGGACACGGCCTAAAAAATTAAGACGATCCAGGGAAAACCAGGACAGGTGACAACCCTTTGGACATCACTTCTGAACATTCATTCGGAATGCATGGATTTGTGCTTTACCTTTATTTTTTTATGTATTTACAGAAAATAATTCCAGTCACCAGTGTAATAAATGGAATACAATCGTTTTATTTATATCAGGCAGACATCACTGAGGAAAGTTGACTGTGTGGTAGCCTGGGAAAAAAACGTCATAACCCACATTATATCATTGTCGAGACTCTCAAGAGTTGGTTTGCATTGGGAGTAGGCGGATTAAGCAAGTGAATTATTAGCTTCACTATCCAGCCATCTGTGGGAAGATGATACAAGACTACATCAAATTTTGTCATAAGCGACTTTTAGAGTGATTCAATGGGGGGGCTGCTGCGATGTCACAGACTTGCAATCCAGAGGTGGCTGGTTCAATCTCACGGCACGGTAGCTGAAACGATGGGGCAAGTTTCTTATAATCCATTCACCTCTACGCTTCTGCCAGCAGTGGAATGAGACGAGGACTTTTAGGTCTGCACCTTTACTTTTCAGCACCTAATATCAATGAAGTTAGATGGGTTACTGAAGGTGATTATTAACAGTGGGTTATACAGTTATTCTGTGACAATCCCCCTCAACGTTCCCGTTCACAATCTCCAACAGCACAAACGGTTACCGTACCAGGTTAGTATGACATATACCTACCTACATCTTTGTCATTTTGGGCATATATATTTGTAGCACAAATCATGCAAAGATCATTGTTTTTGAGTTGCATGTGTAGTGGGTTCCAGGGAGACCGAAGACGGAGCGCTTGAGGCAACACGTTTATTCAATACAACTGCGGGATACACGGGTCCCTAATACCGAGGGGTAGCGGCCCCTCTACCCGATACCCAAGGAGGTACAGCCTCCGGGCTAGCGTGTCCTAATCACTCGGACTACACTCACGTTCCTCCGGCTAAGGGGACCTAGGGGGAGGCTATCTGACCCAACCCAGCCAAGGACCTTGGGTCCCAACCACTGGCCCACTCGGTCCCAGCCCTTAGAACTAGAAGGACGGCGGGCCTGGGGGTTCCCAGGGTCCTAGCCGAGCTGGTCTTCTTTCTTCAGCTTGACGAAGACTGCCGGACTCGTCCAGAGGTCCGGCTTTTATACCCGTGGCCGGGTCTCTCCGCCCCTGGCCACGCCCCCCCCCGCCCTTGGTCACGCCCCCCTTCTGGAACTCTCCAGGGGGCTCTGGAATATCTCCCCCAACCCGTCTCTTGGGGTTGGGATAGCCTCGTGTCCCAACGGCCCGGCTCATCCTGCCCATCCCGGGTTACCGCCCCCTATGGACACGTGTGTGCTACTACAGGTAAGTGCATAACACTGCTATATACAATGCCTGACACCGACGCTACACAGGCATCTGTAATGAGTAGCCTACTGATCACAAATATTTGCTTGCGAAGTCACGCGTATTCCCAATTATTCAGTCCTGTATATATTTTAAACTGGAAAAACGTGGCGACATGCATTTGTGATGCGTTCAAATAGAGCAGTCCGCAATATTCCATTGTATTGCCAACTATCACAACAATCTAGATCAATATTATTTGTTAGCAGCAACAAGTGTAAAACCTCACATGCACATAAATATTAAATACCATACACCAACTCTTAGATACAATAAAGTAGCATATTACACGACTGGTGCTTGCCCATTGAGCACCCAAAAAAATAAATGATAGTTGGGGGGGGGAGCTCCTTTTGACATATACGCTGCTCGTGAGATGATAGAAGAGATATAGACAAGAGGTAGAAATGCAGTGAGACGAGGACAAATGTAGACAGAAAGAAAGCTGTAGTTAGACGGGAGATGAGCTACAGACTAGAGAAGAGAGATATTTTAATAACCGTTTACATTCGTTAGCTTGCTATGTTTTGTTGGATTTGAATTCAAGCTCACACCACTACATACACATTTTACTGGTAGGAACCTCCTGGTTACACCAGCCCACAGGGGGTTATTGTGTCCGTCTGTCCGTCGTGCATCCAAAAATGGGAGGGGTGGGGCTGGGTGGAGAGGGGAGGGTGGGGAGGGGCTTGGTGGGGAGGGTGGGGAGGGGCTGGGTGGGGAGGGTGGGGCTGAGTGGGGGGTGGGAGGGGTGGGGCTGGGTGAGGAGGGTGGGGCTGGGAGGGGAGGGTGAGGGGTGGGGCTGGGTTGGGGGTGGGAGGGGTGGTGCTGGGTGGGGAGGGGCTGGTCACCCCGTGGTACCCTTATGAAACTCAACGTTTAACCTACTCACGCCGGCTTGTGCCCGCCCTCACAGTCGGGCATATTTGCGGAATACACCACGTGGTGGTGCCGCCGTTGACCCTGGCCATTGACCGAGCAACCCAACGTTTCTACCAGCTCCCTCCGCGAGAACGTGTTATGAATCCAAATTGCTCAATTGGGATTACACACAGCAGCAGTCATCGCCCTCTACTGGCAGACTAATGCCCAATTGCAGGCCTGTGCCGAGTCCCTCTCTGCCACACAGGGACAGCTGCCACTGGGGATGTCCTTAAAATGTTTGAGATGAGATGTGATGCAAGGCACTTTGAGTTTCTGAGGAAATTAAGTGCCAGATAAACGTAAACGACTAATATTGTTATACATTCTAATCTGGGGGCCCATGGGCTGCTTTAGGCCCGATGAATTTGTTTTCTTTGCTTATGCCTGGCACCACCAGTAAGGCCTTGCACCACCAGTAATACCTGGTATCACCAGTTAGGCCTGGTATCACCAGTAAGGCCTGGAACCACCAGTAAGGCCTGGCACCACCAGTAAGGCCTGGAACCACCAGTAAGGCCTGGCACCACCAGTAAGGCCTGGCACCACCAGTAAGGCCTGGAACCACCAGTAAGGCCTGGCACCACCAGTAAGGCCTGGTATCACCAGTTAGGCCTGGAACCACCAGTAAGGCCTGGCTCCACCAGTAAGGACTGGCTCCACCGTCTCCGAATGACGAGTGGCCACCACTGCCTACGACACAATTAATGCCATCGCACGAACTCCGTTCATCCCATCACGCAAACTCCGGTCATCCTCGCAGTGGCCTTTGGCTAGCCATTGAACTAAACTAAACTATTTCCATTTTACCAGGAAAGACCCACTGAGCTATGTAGCTCTTTTAGAAATGATAGCTCAACGAAGAGGCAGATCATGTGGAAATTTATAGCAGCCAATACTTTAAACGAATGTTTCTAAATGTGGATGGAAAAACCGGAGGACCTGGAAAAAAATACAGATGACCACGGGGAGAACATGCAAAATCCAAATATCCAGGCGTCATGATCGAGATCAAACTCACGACCTCCCGTATACCACGTGGCACTCTTATTTCAAGGAACAAAAACAGTCACTGCATTGCGCGCTTTCAGATGCGTTTCTGCGGCCATCTGGAAGGTTCTTCCTTCCGAATGAGGAAGCCACTGGAGCTATGCACTTTGAAATCTAGATTGAAAACTAATTTCATTAGAACTGCTTTTTTTGTATCATTTGTTGTCCTTCCCCAGTACCTCCGATTAGCACGTGAGCTGCACATGATGCAAAAGAACTTCAACATACATGCATACAGATGAAAGAAGGTAGACATTTACTGTGTGCTTACGATGGTACAGTTGTTAATCTGGTGGATAAACTAGTGTGGACACGTAGTTTTGGGAGTTCGTTATATATTGGCAATGCTGTTTTGCAGCACTTGCTGCTGCAGATGAATCAGTTCCTTCATCATTTTCGACTCTGCATTATATGGGTCACTGCATAATTCTCTGGGACATTCGTAAGATGGTACGGAAAAGTCAATGTGTACATCATTGCTTCCGTCAAATGAATTGTACATCGGCCCATCGTTGGTTTGCAATGCAGGGATTATGTGATGCTGTGGTTCACACAAACCAGGCCTTTCCACACACTCGCCAAGATCAGAGTTGCTGTTTTCATTGACAAGGCTTCTCTGAAAGCCTTCCAAAAGAAAGAGAGCATTAGATGAAATTTGCCCAAACTGCTGGTCGCTACCATTGCCGCTGAGATCATCAGGGTTGAGCAACAGGTCCTGACTTGTGCGCTGTGCGATAACGTTAACTTGATTAGAATAATGCGCGTGCACTGCATATTCAGGGATATCGTTTTCAGCTGGAGAAACAAACAACAATGGCAGCTGTTCATTGGGGTATGTATTTTCTATCCTAGATACTCCCGATTCATGTGAAAACTGTGTAAGGCTAGCCTTAAGCATGTCAGTGGAGTCGTTACTTAAATTTGGATTGTTACGGAGAACCAAACCGCATCCGTCATTTGGTTCAAAAATAGGAATGTTCTCCCTGATGCCTGCTGCACTGGAATACATTTTGTTTCCTTCCCATGTGGTCTTATCCAGTTCTTTGTCACCTTCGTTGTTCTCAAACCAGTCTGGGTTTGACTTCTGAAATCGTTTGAATGCTTGTATGGCCTCTAGCAGGCGTCTCCCACATGGCTCTTCAAAATAGTCTTCTGCAGAGATTCCGTGTGTTCCGTACGTGATTCCTGGCTCGTACTGCTCCTTGTCCTGGATCCTGAAGAAAAGTTCCTTGAAATTTTTCATGAGCTTATACTTGAGCGTCACGTTGAAGAAACTGGGGATATCCCTCTCACTGCTTACGTCCTCAAAGTACGCCACGATATACTTTTCGAACGTGGCCGGCCGCATAATTCCATCGCAGATGAGGCTGAGGGCGGGGCTGTACATGTCTCCGACGAGGGATTTGAGATCTTCCCGAAATTCCACTTGTGTGGAGTCGCACAGCGCTCTCCATTTCATCTGCGACCCTCGAGAGAACAGCACAATGACTTTGGCCACCGAGTCCTTGCTTTGATCCAACTGCTGCATCAGCCACTGCATCCTCCCTGTCTTGGCTACCTTTTGCTCTTCCCACAGGTCCAGCGATACCGCCATGCCACACTTGCTCTGCAGGAACGCCGCGAAGTGCAGGACAATGTCTCTGAACAATTTGTGGTCGTTAGAGTAGACGATGAACACTTTTCTGGGCTGCAGCTTTGGTGGCAGTTGTGCAACGGGGACCTCAGTTTTCTCTTCTTCCACTGTCGTGGCCGGTCTGCAAAATCCATTTCTCACGGCATCTGCAAAAAGAGAAGATGGTATGCTTTGGGTGGAAATAAGGCAAATATAAGCAGAACGCCATTCCTATCTCCTAACATAATTGTACTTATTTAAGTGTCCATCAGCCTATTGGCTTTCCAGACCAACATTATCAAGCAGCATTAGCATTCAGGCTTGTTAAACAAATGTCACTGGAATAACAGATGTTATTGGCAAGAGCACTCCATATAAACTGTGGGGCTCCATTAAATGAAAGAAGCAATACTATACACACACTCTCATGATGTATTGCTGTGGAGCATTACGGGCAAAAACATACATAGGCACGGCTGTGTTCTTTCCCACACATAAATAAACATTTTTAATTAATCACTCTATTGGCTATTCATGCGTGAGACAATAGAGCAGAGGTCTACTCATACGGTAGCTGCGTTTGCCCATAATGCAACACAGCAAGGCATAGCGAGTTTGTAGTTACAAAGAGAAGTTGCAACGTTGCAAACGCATCAGCCAGTCATGAATAAAAGCACATCGAGTGTTTGTTGCACGTATTAAGGCCCTGAATAAAAAAAAAAATTATCTTCAAAGGGCACAATAATAGAATATAAAGAATAATTTACAGCCCTTTGTCAAACAATTGCTGTATCTAGGCCTCCCCATGCTGTGTCAGTCATGCGGGTTGTTTGATTTTACTTTGCCATATTGATAACCACAGTTTGACGAAGGTAGGGGCTCACGACTGATTTAGATATCTTACGACTGATGTGAGCCATGGCCAGGAATCGAACTCGGGTAGCCAAGTTCATAGTTCAGCTCAGTCTACTAAGCAATGCATCAGCGATACATCGCCTGCATAACAAGTGAAGATAAATATCCCATATATAAAGTAAAGCATGTAGAGTACCATAACTTACCTCGTTTGCAGTAGACTATCACACCCATGGCAAATGTCATAACAAGACATAAAGTAACAGCAATGGCTACTTTTCCAAGGATCTTATTTGTGGGAGGAGGCGGCGTTGATGAGTTTTTATCTGAAAAGAGCATGACAGAAGAATTGGTGAACTGACATACTGTATATATGGTCACGTTAAGAGTTCAGCCCCAGCAGTATAAATGGGTATACCAGACACAAGTGCTTTGTTCGACAGGTACTCCGTGGGTTCCCCGAGCCAGAGGTAGAGTACCCCCACCTCTAGCTAGTTGGGAAGAGTAGGCAAAATAACCTCTAGTGGGGCTCTCTATAGCTCCATATTATGGATGCTCTTCCCCAGCAGTGGCATGAGCATGCAATTGTAAAGCTGTACCTTTATCTTTTACCAAGCATTCGCCAAAAATTGCAAAATTACAATTGATTTTAAGTGGATATTTATAATAAGTCCAATTATTTACCCAGGAAAGTGTCACTGATTCTCAAGACTAATTCCTGGAGGAGGGGGGTGGGGGTCCTGCATTGGGATGTTCGCTCCAATTCCATGAATGTTTCAATGGCGTGTGAGAGGACACCGAAGAAAAATCTTGGGAGTAAAACCACCGCACATAAGAGGCAGGTGACCTCTCAGCACTCTTCATCTCCCGGCCACACCTCACAGACTCATGTCTACAACGCCTGGCAGGTCGTGGGGGTCACCCATCTCGGTACTAGCCAGGCTCAAGTCTGCTTAGCTTCAAAAGATCTCACAGGATCAGGTGCTTTGAGATTTGGTCCATTTACCGATTAGGTTGTCACTCCCTCCAAAAAAGCGTATGCACTAAGACTTCTCGAATAACAGGTGAAGTGGCCAAAAAGAGCAAACGACAAGAAAATGGGTTTTACCTGTAAGAGTCACCGACATTGTTCTTTCCTTGCAATCATCTTTGCATATGTCAAAGTAGGGTTTTATCTGTCCGTGTGGATTTAAAACAAAAAATGTGTCATTGTTCACAGATGCAATATTAAACTGATGCATGAATCAATCTTGCAATTACTAAGGGTGTGATGATGGATCGATTCATTGATTAGTATCCATTCTTAAGGCTCCGATTGTACGTGTAAGAATCGATAGTCAAAGAGATTTCCTGCTCAAATAAGCATTGACTCAGTGGCTCAACTCCGATTTAAAGCCCTGAGCCAGTGGTAGAAATTCAACGTTCGTATGGCAGGGGCGAGGTCAGACACGCAACCATTACTGTTGGTTCCCACCACACGGAATGGTACTCGTTTTACCGACCCCAGAGATATGATGATGGGCCGAATCAACCCCCAGCTCGGATTTGAACTGGCAACCTTCCGATTGGTGGTTACCGAGCCTCCTGTCCGGCTACATATCACGTGCTGATGGTATTACACCGTTACATTGCAACTAATGGAGCAAAATATTTTACATAAATGAGACAAAAGCAGAATCGGTTCTTGCGAGGGAGGATGAATTGTTACACCCTTAGTAACTGCTAAATTTGCTGCGGTGAAACTAGAATATATCGTGAATAGTTTTTTCAGAAAATGGCTGTTAGCATGTGTTTTATTACTTAAGGTGCCGTATGAATTGGATAATTATTAAATCTTTTGTTTTACTGTTATATCTATTGTACAATGCAATATAACAAAATCATTGTATTGTTCACTTTCAAAAATATCATATCATGATTATAGTTGTTCATTACCTTTTCATCAAAAAAATTATGCACTGACAACACATTTATGAAATAACGAGCTCATTCATTAAAATTGCGATTAAATATTAACACTCTGCAAAATGTTTTCCAGAGTATTTGACGGCTTAGTTGTCATATTGTTATAAATTTCGTCTTGTATTTAACAATATTTGTGTAACTGAAAGTGCGTGCACTAAATAAGCATAAAATATTGTAATGATTGTAAAAAAAAACATGTTTTTTCCAGGCTTCAATTGCATGAACTGCAGTGAAATATATTTCAAATAACCCTTTATTTACTGATTGGCCGTGTCGGCAATTGCGGAGCCAGAATTTTCAGGTAGGGGGGGCAACCCCTCCAGCAATGAAAAATGATAGAGGAGTTGTTAGTAAGTAGGGACTTGTCCCTTGGTTTTTATTCGGCGCGTGTGCGGCGATGGCGCAGCTATCTATCAAGGGTGGAATTCGAACCGCGTTGTGTAATCGGCATCACGCTCGCTGAAGGTGTTAATGCCTTCAGGGAAGTCGTGTACTGTATACGCAACTGTGCACAATTCTGAGTCACATAAAACTGCTTTGCCGTTACTTATTGCCAATTATGGACTCAGGCTATTGTCCTATCATCGCATAGAGTCCCTGGCACAGAATAATATGCTACACAGTGGCAATGGGGGTCACGAAATGCTGATGTATTACTAATAAACCCCAATGATCCGATCGAAATTAGGGATTTCGATCGGACCATTGGGGGGGCATGTGCCCCCCCCCCCCCACTGGCTCCGCCAGTGCGTGTCGGGTGGTGGGGGGTCAACACATTTATACTTCCGCGATCTAACCCAGAAACCTTTATTATGAATAATATTGGTCACGAAGGCCTACGTGTTAAACCCTTTATTTATACTGCAAGTACAGAAAAGCACAATAACATCACAGTGTCGTAAAATATAATTACAAGGTTATGGGGACGTGATATTGCAAAAATTGTCACACGGTAAAATATGATATAGTGAAAAATTGGATTGCGAGCATAATTCGTTCCGGAAACGTGTTTGTAATCCAAAGCACTCGTATATCAAAGCACTCGTATATCAGTTGTGATCACGTGATGCTCGGCAGACAAAGCGTATATACGTACTGCTCGTATTGCAAGACCTCGCTCGTTTATCAAATTAATATTTATTTTAAAAAATGTGCTCGTCTTGCAAAACACTCGCAGACCAAGTTACTCGCAATCCAAGGTTTTGCTGTATAGTGAAAAATAATAACGTCGCAACCATACATATCGACAAGGTAAGTGAAAGTGTTGTGGTATGATGTAGACAATGCTGTACTCTGTTGTGTATTTACATACCTTAGCTTCAAATGTGCGACAGCCTGGTGTCGGTGTAACACCGGGAAAGGTCACCTGTCTATATTTTCCGATCCCCTATTAAATATAAACGTTGCATTCAGGCACACACTAAAAAAACACTCGCCGCACTAGCACTGCCTTATTACAGAAAGACGCACCGCACATTGACATTACCCACAGTGACCCTTTAACAGTGCGTATTGCAACAGGGCATGAAGATTGACGGACGTATATTGCTGAATGAAGGCCTCTCCAAGTCCTGCCATTGGTGAAGGTTGTTTGGCTCCGCCTCACCACGCTGGGTTAATGAAGTTGGCGAGGCCCAGGGCCAGTTCTGGTACCACTCGCCAGTGATGTTAGTCATGGCCGGGAATCGAACTCAGCGATGGGGCAGTGGTTGGCACTCTGTTCTCAATCCAGCGACCCAATTTTTTTTTCAATCAATAGCGCCTCTACATGCAGCCACAGTTGAAGATGCTGTACACAAATAGTGGGACATGTTAGGGAAAGGAGGGTTTTTTAAAATATTTAAATTTGTATTATTATCAGAGAACAAACAGTCCAAGGCAGAGGAGAAGGGAAAGTCTTGAACTTAAACTTGAACAGGGGCAGAGAGTCAGCAGCACGGATGGCTGGGACTTGCCATTTGAGGTCACACCGTAAACAAATCTGATATTAATGGGTACCGTGCTCTCACAATATTTAAATAATCTTCGGCTAACATTTAAATTCATTCCCACGCACCGCTAAGCACCGAGTTATTGACATTTTGATTATAATCATGCTACATTCCAACACTTTTGAAACGGGTTAATCCGTGGACAGATGTCATTTATGTTTCATTTGTTGCGTACAGCTGGATAGGTTAAGGGATTTGGTCATGCTGTCAATTGTAAGGATATACAGCAGACTAAAAATAATTTGTGCTTTGACATGGGAACTACACCAGATTTCTAACGATGTATCATAAACGACTACTGTTTGAGTGCGAAGCATTTTGGAACGCCCATTGGCTGATGTTTAATTTTTCTTCTTGAAAGCATTTTTACTTTGTTGTAAGTCAAAATCAAGCAGAAAGTGTGTTTGGTTACAAGGAACATAACCACATTGTGCTATATAAATTTTTGACTAATTGCCATGAACGTTAACAATAAATTAGACATTTAAAATAACCAATGGCAATCATTGAGTTTTTCAATTTACATACAGTGGTGGCCAGTGAGTATTTAATTATGTAGTCTATTGGGGGAGCACAGAGCATGGGGGGGCAAGGGGGTAGAGAAGGTCTGAATGTATTTTCTTCAAGTGCAGCGCACCTGTGCAGCGCACCTGTGCCGCACAGCAGGTAAGGGGCCCGGGGGCTCGCTTGTCCATTTATTACCCAAGACAATAACAGCCCTTGCACAAGCACTCCCTGGCTGACGCGTTGGTGTAAGTGTGCGCACAGTGCAATCACTGCATCACGAAACTAAACTTTTTTTTATTTTACCAAGTAAGACCCACTGACCTGGACAGCTCTTTTTTCAGAAGCGACTTGGCCACAAATGATAGCTCAACGAAGTAGCTGATCATGTGTATATTTATAGCAGCCAAATACTCTTAATGTGCGTTTCTAAATGTGGAGGACCCCGATAAAGATCCACACGAGCACGGAGATAACTCCAAATATTACAGGCGTCAGGGTCTGGATCGAACCCAAGCCCTTCTGTATACTAGTTGAGGAAGTTAACATTTCGCCACCATTAGGTGGTGTGGGCCAAGTCCCATAATAGCACAGTCACGTGTGTTTACCAGGGGCTAGCTAGTACACGGTATACTAGCTAGCTGTACATCTATGATCAGCCACCTTAGTAAAAACTGTACTTAATCTGGTGCAAACAGTTCAACAATCTGCAGTCTATAGACTTTTACAATGTGAAAGTATTGTTGACGTTTTATCCTTTTTTAATATTGGGGCTCCGGCCCCAACTGGCCCTTAATCGCCAGCCGCCACTCTGTACAAGACTCACAGAGCGCATCGAATTGGGCATGATCGTTTAAAACTTACCCCGATCACGGACGCCTTGTGGATTTGTCCGCAGCTCTCCAGCGTGACGTTATACCTCCTCGATAGGTTCACTGCTGAGAATTTGACTGATGCCCCACTGTCATTCAGGTGGACACTTATATCTGGTGACCACATGCTCCCTGGTAGTGATACGAGGAACACCAAACATTTGATTTTCATTAATTTGTTTTTATGCTTCGAATGGACCACATGCCATCTTAGTCTTCTTATCTATATCTACGAAACTAAACATTTTTTTTTATTTTACCAGGTAGAGCCCACTGAGCTATAGTTTTTATTTTTAAAAGCGTCCTGGCCATCACAAATGATAGCTCAACGAAGTGGCTTATCACGTGGAACTTTATAGCAGCCAAATACTTCGAAACCATATTCTCCACGATTATAAAACGTGCAAATATTAAGGGTTTACTGTACCTATAAACAATAGAAAACTAAAATTTTCAATTTTGGCACCAATTTTGGTGGATGGGGGGGGGTGTGAGTCAGGAATTGTAAACTCATTTTTTTTTAAGATAGCCCAATTTATTTATTTCATCTGAGGTTTTAATAAATGCTGAATTAAACTATGACATCATATTTTACCATTAGCAATGGGCAATCCACCACTGCATGAAGGCCATCCCAATCCGCCACCATCTCAAGATCTTGTGATGTAATCATCCATGATGATGATGGTGTTGATGTGAGATTATATTTGTGACAACTTACATTTTGGATACTTTTAGAGCGAGTAAAGAGCAAATTAAGCCCGTTATTTCATTGTTAATTTTAAAATTGTCCAGTGTTATACTTTCATTCCTTGTCATGTGTTTAAAATCTGAGTTTATATGCAGTATACTCACCGTTCAGAATACACTGGGTTGAAGTTTTCATCACATAATCCTCACAGCCTGTGAATGTTTAATAGAAATGAAGGACATTCGTGAATCGTCGACTTAAAAGATATTTGTTTTGAATATCTTTATCACAGTGCATTTATCAGCAGCTGCCGTCTTGAATTTGGTGGAATTCATGAGCTTAAACAAATCAAAGGGATATGCGAACACATTCTTTGGTTATTTACGGTAAAGTCACGTAGGTATAAAATAAAATAAATCACGACGTTTCGGGCGCAACACAAGCGTCCGTCATCAGGTGACGTTTGTGTTGCGTGATTGATTTTATTTTATTCCTACGTGACTTTTCCGAAAGAACCAAATAATATGGATTCCTGCGGTCACGAAAGCTTCAAATCAAGATTGGATATGCCAAAACTTGTGTCAGACCAGAAACCTCCCGAAACAAAATGTTTCTGGCACTGCATTTGATTACAAAAAAAAACATTACACACGTATCCTTAAATAAATAACCCACGTCTCTTCGGAAAGATTGGAACATGAAATGAGTGGAGTGAAAAAAAATGTCGTTAAAACTAAATGCAAAAAAAAATCGTCGTTGGCCACTGAAGGGTGAACACCTTCCCAAGTTGTAGTCATCCTCCATGACCCACCCGGCACCCGCACACAAGTTGTGTTCATCGCTCCATCTCCACTGCGGATGCTCTCTATAGCAGCTTTCTCCCCACCTTGGCTGCCACCACCCCATCGTTAGTCTTGACTGTCAGACATTCTCTTCTCGCTACGCGTTCTGCGCAAACCAACTCACGTTTCTGAATGCAGTAGTTCAAATTACGTCTTAAAGCCTGTGAAAGTTCTTTAATCAATGTGTTCCTCTTTCAGTCTCCCAAATGAATTTTCCCCTCCTTCGGTATAATTCCAAAAACGTATCTCTCCACTGGGTCAGAATCGCGATTTGTGCTGCATTGCTCTGCAATGCGGTTTTATAGCTGTGCTATGTATTGTTCAGCGTGACGACCCACGATCTACTCCAAGTGCAGTGACATCGCGGACGTCACTGCGTGGTGCCGGCCCTATAGGGGCACGGCGTGCGATGTACTCACATCGCGGACATCACGTGTGTAGCGACATCGTGTATGTCGCTGTGAAATGCCGGCTCTAGCGAGGCACGGCGTGCGATGCATTATCATCGCGGACACCCCGTAGGTGGGTGTAGTACCGAGCCCTAGGGGGGGCTCGGTGAGCGCTGGGATAGCGCTCAGTGGCACCACGCGTGACGTGCAGTGCTGACTCCTACAGGAGGGAGTGTGGGAGTGTCAGCCATGGGATAAGGTTACCCTAGGCCAGCGGTCCCCAACCCTTTTGGCACCAGGGACCGGTTTCGTGGAAGATAATTTTTTCACGGACCGAAAGTGGGGGGGGGGGGTTCACCATTTGGTCTTTCCCCCTTTTCAAAGAAGCTCTCCAGCGACGTTTGTTTGTTACTCATTGTGGCTACTAGGGGTCAGCTTGTGGGCTTACCACAACTGTGACTGAGACAAGTGCACAGTGGGGGAAAGAGGCGCGGACAAAAGTGGTAAATAATAAAATAATGGAGGCAGGCCACGTGGGGACTCACCCTTCTCACCTTCTGCTGTGCGGCCTGGTTCCTAACAGGCCACGGACCGGTACCGGTCCGCGGCCCGGGGGTTGGGGACCCCTGCCCTAGGCCATGGCACTCTGGTTGACCCTGGAAGCCACGTGACCAGTAAGATCTACACAAGGGCCCCAGGTGGGGGGGGCTGGTCACGTGTCAGGGTAAGATCCTATGGGAAGGGTCGAGAAACAGCAAGAGGTTTCTCGAAGGTGGTCGTGGCAAAGGTCGGGGCCAGCCACGACCCAGCAGCATATAAACCGGGGTCCGCACAGAGGACCGGGGTTCAGTGTTGCTGCCGTCATCTGAAGATCTACGATCGACGTCCAAGAAGAAGTCACCAACACGTGGACGAGGACTCCAGCTAGGGTCCTGTCCGTTGCAGCTACTCCCAGTAACAAGCGTAGTTAGCCTGGTGGTCCACCACCATAGGTTATCTGGTGAAGGGGCAGTAACCCTTTTGTGTTACGTGTTGGTATTAATAAATGTGTTACTTTTAAGAAGTATGTCTGCGACTCAGTTGAATCCACTACACAAGCATAAAAATACGTCGGAGAGCTATGCATCGCTCTACGCTTCTTTGTATGTATGTTGAACTTATTTCGCACCGTACGTAGCCCATGGGCTAATCGGTGGTGCGGGGGAAGGACAACAAAAGCGAAATGTAAAACGCAGTTCTAAAATAATAACATTGAAATCTAGGTTTAAAAGTCCCTAGCTCAAGTGGCTTCCTAATATCGGTAGGAAGAGTGTTTCAGATGGCCGCAGAAGCACATCTGAAAGCACGCGATGCGGTGGCCATCTTTGTTCGATGGACAACCAACTGCCACACTTTTAAATTTTTGTTCCATTTTGCTTGTTAATGTCAATGTTGATCCTTAATATGCTACATATCACTGATGCGCAATGATTCTAAAGTAAAGATACGTTCAGCACAGTACCCTGATTATAGCTGTAACTATTGTATGTTGTGCTGCAAATCTGGTCTTCGCATCGCCTGTCGCTTTGTGGCTGTATTGACAGTAATTAGCCATGGTTAACGCGACAATCACAGGCATTCCTGTCTCGTTTAAGTTATCTATAGTCTAGCCCCAAGCTTGAGCAATAACCAGGAACGAGAGAAAAAAAAGTGGCTGAGCACACAATTGGGGCACGTGCAGAATGTATGCGTTGGCAAAAAAAATAAAAATTATTAAAGCGTTTCACCGAGTCATCTGAATTCCCCCCCCCCCCCCATTTAAGTTTTTTTTTACGTAAACGTATGGAGCATTGTCCTTGACTTGTCCACCGAACATCAGATGGGCCTGTAAATGATACTGTGACAATAACCACCACCGCCACCTTTCAACTCGACAGAATATTCCATCGCAGCCGAGTAGAAATGCAGCGTGATAACGGTGCCACACTGTTGCCGGATTCGGCGAACTGGATTTCCCAAAACTCGGCCTTGGTCAAGTCCCATGCATTTGGCACGGCAATGGCGCTCTGAGTGGCTAGACACCCACACGTGAAACATTAATCATTGGTGGCCTCTGTGTGACTCCCTCTGAGTGGTCATGTAAATATATCGAAAGTTAATATTTTATTTATCCAAGGGAAGCTTGCTGAGGTTTTTTTTTTGTGGCAAGAGGGTCCTACATTGGGAAATGTCTGCTAATACAATCTGTAATTCTGATAACGAAGACGCTGTTTAGGCTACACAAACATAGGAATAGGTTTTACCCTTTTAACTGGCACAAAAACTGACACCTTTAGTCAAGGCATCATGTTTGCAATAACCACAACACAAGCAGTCAAAATGCAAACAAAAAGACAACTCTGATAATGATATGCACTGTCCTTGAATTTGATTGGTCCACACCCGAGACGGCTTTTCTTAGAGCCTAGTCTCCATTGGTGTTGGACCAGAAGACGCCAAAAGGCGTACAACTCAAAAAACAGCACACTATCAGAGTACTGAGGGTTCGGGGTGAGCATTTACCTTATGAGACCTCCAATATCTTGTTACTGGCAAAGGAGGTCTCATAATGTAAATGCTCACCCCGAGCCCTCAATACTCTGATAGTGTGCTGTTTTTTGAGTTGTACGCCTTTTGGCGTCTTCTGGTCCAACACCAATGGAGACTAGGCTCTAAGAAAAGCCGTCTCGGGTGTGGACCAATCAAATTCAAGGGCAGTGCATATTATTATCAGAGTTGTCTTTTTTGTTTGCATTTTGACTGCTTGTGTTGTGGTTATTGCAAACATGATGCCTTGAATAAAGGTGTCAGTTTTTGTGCCAGTTAAAAGGGTAAAACCTATTCCTATATCTTGTTACTGGCAAAGGAGGTCTCATAACACACAAACATACATAAGGAAAAATGTTAAGTGATGTCACGTAAATGCCTTGTAGGCTACTCTGAAAAAATAACATTGAGCAAAGCACTCGTTTAATCGATGACAGTTATCTATAGATCGTCAGGAAATTAAATATTTAAGAAAATAATTTGAGCACAACATAGCAATGTTCAGAAAAACGGATGTGACAATCGTGGTATGTATTGCGAATTATGTCACGTAGTATTTCCATATAACAGTGATGTTTGCTGCAAATCCATGCTCTGTAACGGTACTGTTTTTACAATATGCACCACATTTCTCACCCATCCAACTCCACGTAGCGCCGCCGCATCTCGTTAGCGTGTAAAGTTTTAAACTTATTTATTTTTCCAACGGTATCCCGATTGTGCTCTCGGTGTAAGTTCACGACACAGAGCATTATTTCGGGTCTTTTGAAGTGCAACCCTTCGTGTTGGAGAACGGCTCACGGAAGTGGATATCATAGAGGAAATTCTGAGAATGATCTCTGGCTACACAATACAAGGGGGCAGCACTTTCCTCCTCACTCTGCATGTGAGAGTGAGCTTTGTCACGTGACAGTCAAACAAATATTATTATTCTCAGACCCGCAAATTAGTCAAATTAACTGCAGAACTCTTGCCCCCTCAGTGTGGAACTCAATCCCTTTGCACATCCGCAACATCAAATGCACTCTGACTTTTAAGAAACATCTAAAGGCCTAAGAATAGGTTTGTCCCCTTTTTTTCTGGCAACAAAACTGAAACCTTTTTACAAGGAATCATGTCTGCATTAACCACAAAACTTGTGGTCAGAATGCAAATATTTTGGTACTGGTAAAGGAGGTCTCATGATGTAGATGCTTACCCCGAGCTCTCATTACTTTGATAGTGCATTGTCTTTGAGCTGTATGCCTTTTAGCGTCCTCTGGTCTAACACCGGTTGAGACGAGGCTCAAAAGAAAGCTGTCTCTGGTGTGGACCAATCAGTTTCAAGGACAATGCATATACTGTCAGTGTTTTTTTTGTTTTCATTCTGACCACAAGTATTGTGGTTAATGCAGACATGATTCCTTGTAAAAAGGTTTCAGTTTTGTTGCCAGAAAAAATGGGAAAAACCTATTCTTATATTTTGGGACTGGCAAAGGAGGTCTCATGATGTAGATCTAAAGGCCTGTTTGGTCAGGCTTTCGAGCAGCCCTAAGCCTAGCTCCGCGCCTCTGAGTTGTTGACTTGTCTGCAAAATATGGCGCGTTATGAATACCATTATTATGATTAACTATATTTAATGTGGTGGGGTTTTTTTTTGTGTGCAGTCAATTGATGACTGGGCTGAGAGCACCAACTCATTACATTGAGGACCCTGCTTAAGCACAGGCAGCTGCCTGGTTTCAAACCCAGGACCTCCGTGGTGCAAGCTCAGCACTCCGATCTCTGATCGACCCGGGCACCCCAAGGGTATGAAGTGCTCATGAACATCTGAGACATGCTGTAAGAGGTGCGATTAAATTTTTTTGTTACCTGGCAAGGTGAAGTTTCTCCGGAAAATGGTTTCTGGCTCCAGTGGAACGGGTTTGGGAAAGTTGCAAACGTCTACGCGGTAACGTTTGTATGGTTCCACTGCAAACCCGTGAAATGAAAAACTCTCCAACTGCAAAAGGAAATGTGGAAAATTTCAAGGGTTTTCCCAGAAAAAAAAGTCGATAACCCACGTATATTATATTTTATATCTATAGAGATTACCATGAGAAGACTTCTGGGATGATCACGATGTTCCAGGACACACTGCCAATTGTTGAGGACAAAAAGTGAATGAAGCAAGATATTTTGATTTAAAGCTTTCGTGACTGCAGTAATTCATATTCTTAGTTATTTCGGTAAAGTCACGTGACTTTACCGAAAGAACTAAGAATATGAAGCAAGATATGTTTGGCCTTAATATTTGTATAGATTTTTGAGCTTGAGTCACATGCATTAGGATCACTTATGTAAGAATTAATGTTTTTCGATTCATGTAGGTTATATGTAATGAGTTCACTTGTCCCATACAGGCACTTGAGCCCCTAAATTCTCTACAATATAAAAAAGGTTTCTTGAATAAAATCGCTACAAATCATTGCATTGTGGGAAATGGGAAACGTTACCATCACCACCATCACCCTCACCATTCCATTCCCTCCCTTGGATATCTTTCTCCTCGCTGGGAACATGTTCAAGTCCAAGCTCAAGACTTTTATCTTCTGCCTATGACTCTCTCTCTCTCTCCATGGCGTGTCTGAATTCACACTGCTGCTATAAATGTTGCCTTAATTCCCACTCGCGGACCTGTGAAATTAAAAAATAAATTCTGTGCTCTAAAATAAAACTAATTTCAAACTATTTTACACGTGCACATGTCCCATGTTTGTACAAAGTATTGAGATGTGGTTGTTTGTAGAGAGTTCATGAATCCAAAGTGATAATCATGATCAGCCCAGATATTGCATATCTACTGCTGGATGAAGGCCTACCCACAAATTGTATTTTATTCCTTTATTAAATTCCTAATCGTATAGTCACGTGTACTATGTGCCAGTCTATGAAGCCACCACAAGTAAAGGATTGATTTGTAGACACGTCGTATCCCATTTCAGTTCATGTTGTTGCTATTTAGTGAATTACATTAAGTAAGCTCTTAATGATCTTACCATTCATAACAAAGGTTTGTGTGTTAGATCGCGTTGTTTATAAATGTGTCGTAACCCTCCACCACCCGAAACGGCCAAACAGTAAAAAATAACGCGATCTAACCCAAAAACCTTTATAATGAATAATATTGGTCGCGAAAGCCTACGTGTTAAACTGATCTTACCCTTGTAGGTGTGCTGGAATAAACAAACCAAACACATCTGGTTGCATTTTCATTTTCCATTGTCACACAAACTTCGGTTCCCTGGAGCGCAACAATGCTGTCTGAAAATATCACAGAAAACATACGGCCGTATTATATCATTTCATTTACACACACTATAAGCCACTATAATTAATGCATGTGAAGTTCCAACAACCAGCCATCACATTCATTACTATACGGAAATGTAGGAATGTTTTGTCCATCAGCCCATGGCCCTTCTTGGAATCATGTTATGTCCAGCGGCATTTGTTTAAGCAAACTAAAAACTCTGGACCACTTTCAACCTCTGGGTCTCATCAAAGAGTTAGATTTGTTAAACAACTGCTACTGGATTTCCAGATGATATTGGCAACAGCACACAAATGATAACATATTTTTTTTTAATATGTGGACCAATCAGTTTCAAGGACAATGCATATATTATCATAGTATGTTTTTTTTCGATTTAAAGCTTTCGTGACTGCAAGGATTCATCTTCTTTGGTTCTTTCGGTAAAGTACGTGACTTTACCAAAAGAACTGTCGAGACGACAGCAAGTGCTGTCGTCTCGACAGTTCTGTTCCTTCACCTGAAGAAGGCCACTTGTGTTGTGGCCGAAACGTCGTGATTTTTTGTTTAATTTTTTACCTACGTGACTTTACCGAATAGAACAAAAGAGTATGGATCCTTGCAGTCACGAAAGCTTCAAATCTAGAATTCCCCAATGTCATTTGCAAGAATAGACCATTGCATGCTGTTGTCAGGGTCTATATTTGTTAAAATGACCCGCACGTCACTCAATTGGGATTACACATTGTAATAAAATCCTCCTACTCACAGATTCATGCGCCAGGACAAGGTCACTCTGGAAAATGAGACAATCATGGTCTCTTGGGTTCTCGCTTGGTTAAACAAAACAAATCTTTACTTCCATAAGAGGTTTTTTTGGGTGAGATCGCGTAAATAAATGTGTCGTTAAAACCCGCCACCACCCGACACAGCCAACTAGGAAGGGTTGTACAGTAGAACCTCGGAGATCGAACGCACCAGAACTCAAACAAATCGGTGTTCGAACGATATTTCCCAAAAAATTTTGCCCCAGAAACCGAGCGAAATTCGGAGGTCGAACGGCAATCGCGCCTTGAAAGAACCTGTACATGGCTGAGACGCGTATGGACAGCGTGCATGACGCTTGCCCAAACAAATGTTTTACCACCTCCTCCTCATCACCACCTTCCACTCAAGCCATCAACTCTCCTTACTACAAATAAAGTAAAGTTCAATGTTCATTTATTTCATTTATTCCATATATTTATTCATTTATTCCATTTATTTATTGTGTTTCTTGTTTTTTTGTTTGATTTTATGCATGTAATCACTGTAAACTAAAGTGTAAAAATGCTATGCATTGAGAGATTTCTTGTGTCTGGAACCAATTAATGTAATTTACATTAATTTTTATGGGGAAAATTAATTCAGTATTCGAACAAATCGGTGTTCGAATTGCCTTTTGAAACGAATTAAGTTCGATCTCCGGTGTACCACTGTATATATATTTCCGCGATCTAACCCAAAAAAACTCTATTATGGATGATATTGGTCACGAAAGCCTATGTGTTAAACAAATCTTGCCTTGACAGCTGGGGAATGACTCAGTCCTTACATCATTCGACTTAACCCTTGACTATGCAATTGCATCGAACTATGGTAATTTTCTATATTTCTCAGTTAAAAAGTGGCAAATTCACTATTAATTCCAACAAATATATCAAAAAAGAAATCTGCACAGACCATCATAAGGCAGCCACCAAGTGATGTTCAGGACAGGAGTGAGCACGGTGGGGTAGGCATCCAAGCTTGCATTTGTCCCTTGACGACTCAAGGACCACTTAAGGACCACGTCCAATGGTCGACCAGGGGTCCACAAGACAGAACCGTCATCCCTTGGTGGAAGAGCTTTAAGGCAAACAAATGAACAAAAAAAGGGGTTCATAATTTGGAAATGCAATACATTACTATTATAGCTGATGTGTTAAGACGAAACGTTAGCGGTGCTATGTAATTATTTCAGCTCGATGGTATTAAACACTTTATAGGTAGCAATACAAAACAAGAACAGCACTGTGCTAATCCTATTGCTGGATGAAGGCCGCATCATTTCAAGGAGGTTGTTTGACCTCTCGACAGGGTGGTCCATATATCTTGTGACCAGCCTCCCAAAATTAATTAACACCCTTAACATTTTTTCCCTCTCCTTTACATGTTAATTTATGCTTTGAATAAACCTTACTTTAAAAAAAAATATTACGTTTTAGATAGTTAAATGGTGGGGGGGGGGGGGGTCACAAGACATCTGGACCCCACTGATCGGTAAGGGTTTTGATGAAGATAGTGGAGGGGGGGGGGGAGACATGGGCCCATATCGGATAGAGTTCAGCACTAACATTGTCAGCACCGCGAACTTGGGTTCTTTGTGCTCTTTTTTAAAATTACTGTTTAGGGTACCACTCAAAAGCAGTGTGTGGTATAACATTTTGACGTTTGTACTTTTAACACCACCATACACTGGTATTCATATTCTATGGGTCTTTCGGTAAAGCCACGTAGATAGAAACATTCTAATAGCACGACGTTTCGATCGCAACACAAGCAATCGTCTTCTCAACCTGAAGACGATTGCTTGCGTGGCGATCGAAACGTCGTGATATTTGTATTATTTGTCTATTTACGTGGCTTTTACCGAAAGACCCATAGAATATGTATTCCTGCAGTCACGAAAGCTCTAAGTCACCATACTGGTGTTGCAGGAGAGTAAGTTACACGACTATCTTGAAATACTTGTGGACACAATTACTATTTTTGTCCTTACTCATCCAATCGGAATTTACTTATTTCCATTAGTATAATGGCTGTATAGTATTCCATTACTAGATGTACACTGTAAAGGAATAGAAATGAAATGAAACTATTTGTAATTGTTAAAGAATTATGACAAAATCGCCCAGGAATGTCCCAGACTCTGTCAAACCCTCAGAATGCCAAGCAGTTTGGGGCCTGTACCATTCTTGGATGAGTGATCACCATTCCCAAAAGCAGGTGCAGTAGGCATTGTCAACAGTGGAGGGCAGTAGAGCAAAATGTTACGTACTGAACTCTACCCCGACCTCCACCACCCCAAAGTCACAAGCGTGGTGAAGTATGGTCAAATAGCCCTCATTGCCTGCACTACGTGGGGAGGGACACTCATCCAGCAGTGGACTGGCAAACGGGCTGAACGTAGTTGCTTAGACTGGGTATACATGTTGAATGTGTCTCGACGTACGACGTACCAATAACAACAAACAATCTCCCGTCTTACACAGGTATCGCGACACAACACACATGGCGATTGTGCAAATGCGAATTCACTTACTTTGTATCGTGCAGTTGACATCCTGCCAGCAGCAATCAAACGACACGCCACAGAAACAGCGTTGGTTACAAATTCACTTGAAGACACTTGCACAAACATATCCGTGCGCACATCATTATTACGCATTGTATATAGCATACGATTGTATATGGAGGAAGGGAGGGATGTGCGTGATGGTTAACAGGGCATTTCAAGCTTACCTTTTTGGAGCAGTCGTAAGAATAAAGAATTGTATCACGAGTCACCGCGCACACGTGGTGGAAGCACGTTGCACTGAAGGCAAACACGAGGGCCCGACTCAGAATCAGCATGACCGGCTCTGTGAAGCTGATAACCAACTTGGCTGGACTATGAAACAGACCCGACATCTACCAGTACACCACAGTCATCGTTTACTCGTTACAGTTTTTGAGTAAACCTTCCCCCCCCCGCCGCCTCTTAATGGTTCGCTCGTTTTAGTTTCTTCTGAAATGACCGTATTGTTCGAACTCTGTAAAAACCCATAAACGCAGGCCCTCTACACCCCACGAAGACCAGGAAGCATTTACCTAAATGTTTTCCCTTTTGTCGTCAAACCAGACAGACAGGTGTGTGGTCAGGAATGTCACCAGGGGGTGTTAACCTCGGCTTCAATCACGAAATACGCATTCTCTACTCCCGGCATGTTCACTCTAAGAATATTCTACACGTGCGCTGGAAGCAACGCAGTGCGTGGATACTGTAAAAGCAAAGTTACAGATACTTTTTTTATGGAACTGCTTTTTGTGTTTAGTTTGTTGCCCTTAACCCGCACATCCGATTAGCACGGTTGTTTGCGTACGGTGCGAAAGAAGTTCACCATACATACATACATGCAGGACTTTATTTCCCACTCGACATTTTCCGGAACGCTGCAACAGCTGCTTTGGAGTAAGGATCATCAGCATTCGGCACTTCCACTGGAGCAGAAGTTACACCTATCAGTAATAATTGATCTATATTATTAAACTTTTATTTCCATTAATCTGTCTTTACGTTGTTAAATCACCTCCTCCCATCCCTCTGTCCAGTCAGCAGTATAAACGGGTACCGCAGTCGGTCCATTCCAATGGCATGTCCGCATGTGGTGGGGTAAAATGTGGGTACTCCCACCTAAGTGGCCCCAATGGACCATCACAACCAGCTACGTTATGAGACCAGGTATCCATTACGATGTCTCGCAAGAGCCTTCGTGTTGGAGAACGGCCTACAAAAGTGGATACCACAGAGCTACCTCTGAGATCCATTTAAAGTTACTGTCTGGTCTAATAAAACTCAAGACATTCGTCAATAACACTGCATTAAAATCTGGATTTGAGGCTTTCGTAACTGCAGGAATCCATACTCTTTGGTTATTTCGGTAAAGTCACGTAGGTAGAAAAATAATAATAGATCACGACGTTTCGATCGCAACACAAGCGACCGTGATCAGGTGAGACAATCACAGCAGGGAAACTGCTGAAACAGGAAGTTGATTTTTTGATTTAAAGCTTTCGTGACTGCAGTAATTCATATTCTTAGCTCTTTCGGTAAAGTCACGTTGAAGGGAAACAATAAAATAATAATATATATATATAATTTGTATTGTTATATATATTGTTATATATATAATTTGTATTGTTATATATATTGTTATATATATATTATTATTTTATTGTTTCCCTTCAACGTGACTTTACCGAAAGAGCTAAGAATAGGAAGTTGATTGTCTCATTTGATTGGCTATGATTGTCTCACCTGATGACGGTCACTTGTTTTGCGATCGAAACGTCGTTATCTATTATTTTTTGTAAACCTACGTGACTTTACCGAAAGAACCAAAGAGTATACTGCCTTAAAAGGTCAAACTATGTGAATGGTTACGTTTCGGGCAATTATCCTTCTTCATACCACATTTCTTTGCGTGTGTGTAGGTGCATGTGTTGTATGTTAGCCCATGTGTGTGTGTAACTCCATGTGTATCTAAAGTCGATGTCTGTGTGTGTGTGGGTCAATGTCTGTAAGTGTGTGTAGGTCGATGTATGTGTCTGTCTTTTTCGCTTGGGCAACGCCGGTTACTTCCCGCTAATACCACATAAATCGAGGGGACATTGCCCAAAATGTCGCCCATTCTATAGTTTTTCAATGGAAGGCAGTGTTTTTGACAAGTGTGTTGTTTTTTTTAAGTGTCCTTGTATATCACTGCCAACAGCAGCAGAGGCAGCACCCAAAAACCTCGTCCAATAAGTAGTGGGCAGCATTTCCCCAACCCACTCTGCCACCGAGAGTGATATCCATCGCATGGCAGTCACTTCTGACAATTTTAATTCTCGCATCTAAAATGTATCCATGCGGTACGGCCAGTGCAGTTGTGGGGTCTCTCGCCCCAACACCTGGAACCGGTTACCGGCACATGTCCGGGAGCCATCGTTGAGTTTAACACGTAGCAGGCTTTCACGAGCAATATCATCCATAACAGGATTTTTTTTTGGGTTAGATCGCGTATAAATGTGTCGTTAAACCCGACACCACCCGACACAGCCAATTAGTAAGGTTTGTCACGTAAACAGAACATGCCAATAATTACTAATTGGCTGTCGGGTGACGGGTTTAACGACACATTTAAATATTTACGCGATCTAACCCCAAAAAACTGTATTAGCCATAATTGAATCCGAGCCAGTTTTACAACGGACTAAAAACAGTTTTTTTATTCCAAGGAGCTCACTTTTGTGTGTGATCAGTGATGGCCTGGGACCCATGAGCACTCGATCCACCATCCATCCGCCCATGGCTCATCACGTGTGTGTCACAGAGTGTGAGACCCCTTCAAAGGAGACAAAGGTGGCCGTGCGGGCGTGGTGCTGGCCACCCACCCCCTTCGTGTGTGCTACCGGCCTTCATAGGCGCTCGCTAACAGCATTTGCCCCAACAGTCTGTTAAGGCTATAGGGGGGATTTTTTTTTTGGATTTACTTAGCGCAGTCATTGGCAAGTGTGCTGAGACTATCAACTCCCTACCCGAGATAACTCAGTTTAACAACATGTGGCTAAAACCTGGATTCAAACGCAGCAACTGCACGCTCTGACGTCTGCTGTGCCACCCAAAGCCACATTTTACTAAGTTACAAAAGAAACAAAGATTTCGATTCTGACGTTTGCCAGCGTAAGATGTGAAAACACTTTAGCAATGTGAAAACACATTTTAACAATGTGTTTTGACTTCTCGGTTATTTTGTGGAACTGTTGTGGCCGTGGTGTAATAGCTCGGTTGGGTGTTTCACGATGATGTTCCTGTCAAGTAAAAATATTTTGTCCTGAAGCGAACATTACTCACACTTTAAACACAAGCACCTTACAATCCAGAATCGAGCATTTGTATTTACGCAAGCGGGACTGGGCGAACACGTTCGCACACGAACCTCGTTTGAGGCTTAGGTGCTAAAATAACATTTCCACCACAGCCTGCGGAGTGATAATCAAAAAAAGGAATTTAAAAAATCTGCACGCGTCGCTTCAATCCTAACAGTAAGAGGCCTGCACGTGGAAGGGCCTCTGAGATGGGATCTCGAAACGACCACCACCCCCTCCAAAGAGACGTACAGGGTGTGGGTCCAGATGTATTGTGACCCCCCCCCCCCAATTAATTGACCCATAAAAAAATGTTGACCCTCCAATTAATTGACCCATAAAAAATGTTGCCCCCCCCCCTTTGGCATATCCACGTCTGTTTAAATAAATCTTACTTAAAAAAAACACATTAACTTTTAGAGAAGCGAATGGGGGTGTCGCTTCAGTCCGAACAGTGTCGATGTGTAAGAGGCCTCCATTTGAAAGGGCCTCCGTGAGATGGATCTCTAGACGACTCAAAGAGTAGTATAGGGTGTGGGTCCAGATGTCTCGTGACCCCCCCCCCCATTAATTTACCCATAAAAAAGTTGCCCACCCCTTTGCATATCCACTTCTGTTTAAATGAATCTCACTGAAAACAAAATACATTCACTTGTCGATAAATGGGGGTCACAAGACATCTGGACATAGGCGGAGTTTGACTTCTATATATTTTTTTGGGGGGGGGGGGGGTGGTTCACTTTGTCCCTCACATTAGTAAACGCGGGTGAATATTAAAATGATTTTTTTTTATCTTAGTTGTAAACTACTGAAAATAAATTAATAACAGTGTCCAGTTTGGGGGGGTGGTGGATGGGAGAAGTCTTAGCCCCAAGGCTGGCACGACCTGGTTTTATTCATTCGGGTTTTAATCGGTTTTTATATATATAAAAAAACCGGAGCACCTGGATCCTGCCCAAATCCGGTTTTTATTAAAGTTAAGTCGGGATTTGAGTCGCACGCACCCCATCAGCGGCGTTCGGGCCGGGGCCCGGGCTCATCCGACATGCGCGTGAGCCGCGCGGTGCGTTCGGCCCTCGCCCAGACTAACGTCGTCAGTTCGTCACTCGTCGGCAGCGACTATCCCGCAGCTCCAGAAGATCAGCCATCAAACTGTTCAGCGTGGCCACGTCGACCGCCGCCGCCGCTGCGTCTCAGCGAAACTTTCTCCACGCTGGGATTTATCCGTTCCAAGTTTGAGGAACAGCCTGGCGCCCAACACGAGTCGAGAAGCTCGTCTTCGTTGAGTCGAACCTCAACGCGCTCCACGACTACACGACTACCCGACGATGGCGATGACAACACCGAGTCCAGCGGCGAGAGCGACGACGACGAAGACGACGACGAGGAGGAGCAGGATTGAAGTGTGCACGAGACGCCGATAATAAAAGCAGGTTTTAATCGGCAAAATCGGGTTTAATTCCATTAAAACCAATAACCAGATTTGTCGGGCAAAAAAAAAATTGGGGTTTTTTCCCACCCTTGCTTAGCCCACCCCCGTAAATTCAGCCCATGCATCTGGACTACCCTGTACATTGGCCTACTCTTCCACGCTGGTTAAGACGCCTCCGAAAGCGGTGACGTGACCCACATTCTGCACCAGCCGCACGCGACCCGGTGGACCGACTCAGAGCGGTGCCCTGCTTATTGTACCCGTTTGTAGGGCGGGCTGGAGAAAGCAGAGGCTGGGGGTGATTTAAAAATAAACTGCTTAAAATTTTATTTTTAAAAGACAACGGTTTTATTTTAAAGTGCACTAAAAAGTAACAAGTAATTATCTTTCAGCCGTCACCGGCTGATCAGAATATTTTTGGACAAGGGGTGATTTAAAATAAAAAAATGATATTCTTTGGGTCTTTCGGTAAAGTTACGTAGATAGGTTCAAATGAATAAAAATAAACAAAAAAACACGACGTTTCGATCGCAACACAAGCGATCGAAACGTCGTGGTTTTTTGCTTATTATGATGATACATTTTGATTTAAAGCTTTCGTGACTGCAGGGATTCATATTCTTGGTTCTTTCGGTAAAGTCAATATATTTTTGTATTATTTTATTGTTTCCCTTCTACGTGACTTTACCGAAAGAACCAAGAATATTATGATGATACTCAACAACCATTGTCTTTGGATCTTTCGTTAAAGTCACCAAGATAGGTTCAAAGAAAATAACAAAAAAAGTTAAAAAAACTACGACGTTTCGATCACAACACAAGCGATCGTCATCAGGAGGAAAAAAAAGATGGGAAAGCTGCTGAGGCAGACTGTTTTAAAGGTTTGCAGCAAATAATATGAATTCCTGCAGTCACGAAAGCTTTAAATCAAGATTCAACAACCATTGTCAAATCCTGCTCAGCTTTCACGGCCACGAGGATCGAACGCTTGCAGCATCACCCCCCGATGTGCAAGAAGTCAGTTGCGTTAAAACCATTTCACAACGGCAGAATCAAACGTTGCGTTGTTACAGTCTATCCAATGTACACGCAATTTTAACAACTACGCTATCTCCTTGCCGTCAATAAATGACGTCACGCACCTAGGTGGGGGGGTGTCAGTCATTTGTGACGGTGTGTGACGACGGGGGGGTGGGGGTGAGAAATGTGACGTCACATCAAAATGCGCAACTTTAAATAAATATAGCCAACACGTTCTACTTAATTAAATAGACTTTTTTTAAATAAATGTTTTCTCCTACAACATCAGAGTGCAGCGCCACATTAAATACGCACTACCATGACAATATATATTTTTTTGGGGGGGGCAGAGCTTTGTGACGTCATATTTGAGGGGGGGGGTCTGACTTTTTATGACGCCGTGTGACAAGGGGAGGGGGTCAAAAATCGTCCAAAATCGCGTGACGTCATTTATGGACTGCCCCTAAGACAACGATCCCCACCCATCGTATTAGCCTGCAGCAGAGTTTTGGGGGCAAGTGCTGTTAGCGAGTGGCCAACACCACGCCCGGCCGCCTTTGTCTCCCCCGCGGCGATGTTTACTATACACACCGCAACCGGCGACTCATTTTGAGGCCGAGTTCATCTAGGGGGAGGCTCCGGACCGGTTCAGATAATCGCCACTGGTTCGCCAGGTTCGTAGTGCAGTGTAGCGCTGCTAATCGCCACACAAACAACAACTCTGCCCTGCCACAAATACATCCGCAACAATGCAGTGAAAGGAGTCGCGTTGATTTATAACAACAACAAACAAATGTAACAACCAAATAATGGCGTGATCGTTACAGAACGTTGGGACGTCGCGTTTCACAACGTTGGCTACAGAGCACTTTAAAAAAATAAACATTAAATATTGATTTGAAGCTTTGGTGCCTGCAGGAATCCATATTCTTTGGGGTCTTTCGGTAAAGTCCACGTAGGTAGAAAAATTAAATAAAACAAAAAATAAAATATCACGACGTTTCGATCGCAACACAAGCGGTCGTCCTCAGGCAGAAAAAAAATTATAATCCAGAAGTGGAACTGATAATTCAGCGAGGAAACGTCGTGATATACAGTCTTATTTTTTATTTTATTTTTACTACACGCTTTTATTTAATTCACTCTGTTGTATCCTCAACTCTGTCTGTTGTCGTATGCTCAAATCGTGTAACTCAATTTTAACCCACTTCTCAATGTGGTATCGACCGCAAACTTGGTATGCTTATGTCATACTGATGACAATAACTATATTCTATCATTAAAAATAAAATAAAAATTTAAACCATCTTTTTTATATGTTATGTTTCGGCTTGGGTCTAATTCTTAGTTTTTTTCGGTAAAGTCACGTAGGTAAAAATAAAACAACTAAATTAAATCACGACGTTTCGGAGACAACACAAGTTTCCGTCTTCAGGTGGAACAGACACAGCATAATTCGCTGTATCCACATTTGTGGACACAGCGAATTTGTGGATACAGCGAATTTTGCTGTGTCTGTTCCACCTGAAGATGGAAGCTTGTGTTGCCTCCGAAACGTCGTGATTTAATTTAGTTTTATTTTATTTTACCTACGTGACTTTACCGAAAACACCAAAGAGTATGAATCCTTGCAGTCACGAAAGCTTCAAATCTAGAATTGGGTCTAATTGTCCACGCTCAATTGACGTTGCCTAGAAATCACCACTGTCCCCTTACTTTATAGCAAGCTTCGGGGCCACTTCCTGGAGTCGTGGAGTTCTGCCACTACTCGTACGGTACATTTAATTAAATCGTGTTTTTTAAAGTATTTTTAAATATTACTTATTCTATCTACGTGACTTTACCAAAAGACCACCTCCCCCACCTCCCAAAAACAAAAACCCGTCGCTCAGCTCGGCTCCGTGTGCCACGGCGGATCGTGGATCCGGCCCGGGTTGTTGTTGCTGCCAGGGCGGCACTGCGGCGCTCCGTGTTCCTCCCCGGCTACTCCGGTTTTCCGCACCTTCGCTGCGATCCGTTTCCGTCGGCGGCGGCGGCGGGCGTGTTGCTGTGTCAGCTGTTTGCGCCGCCGCTGTCGTTGTATAAAGCCGCTGTCGGCTGTGCGCGTCGGGAGCCGGCTTGTGGTCTTGGCACGCTCTCTCTCTCCTCCTCCTCCTCGCAGACTGTGGCGGACTGTGCGAGAGAGAGAGAGGCCACCCCTCCCGAGGGACTACGTAAAAGCGGCCGCGTGTCCACCACCACCACCTGAGCCATGGGTACAATCAAACAAACATTATTAAACAAAACAACAACAAAAACAGCCGGCTTCGTTTTCATCGGAGGGGATCCTTAATGGCGTTCGACGTCCAATGATTTCGCTTGGGACATTTGGGTTTGTCTTGTTTCACGTTCGTTTGCGTTCCGTATCTCGTTCGTGTTTGAAGCAGATGTGTTGTTGCCACCGGGAAGGACGTCGTGTAACAACAACATGCCCTCGGCTCACTGTAAGTAGACGGCGACGAACACGCACTGCCGCTTTATAACACTCGCACTACATTATAAAGGAATAGCAACATGCGTCCGTGCGCGTGTGTGGTGTGGTGTTTGTCGTACGTGAATACGTCGTCTGTTTTTTTGTTATTATTCTTATTCAAAGTATACCGGCTACTGACGTTACAACGTTCCGCGTGAATGATATTCGTAGCACCATTACGTGATAATTAGCCTCATTCAAACCGCACGTGATGAAAAGTAACGTATGTCGAGACGCCTGCTTGTTCCGTATGTCCAGCACATAATCATCCATAATCATCACCATCATCCATAATAATCATCACCATCATCCATAATAATCATCACCATCATCCATAATAATCATCACCATCATTCATGATTACTCCGCTGCTTGATGAAGTCTTCCCCCAAGAAGACACCACCACCACCACATCACCACAGTGTGATTATAATGATAATTGCTCCACACACCAGCTGATTCCATTGCCCCCGGTGTCCCGTGTCGGACGCGCGCTTTGCTCTCACGCGTTCCATTCATTGGATTCGCCTCCTGCCTTGAGATCATCGGCCGCATGGAGCAGTCGACATGAACGCTGTCCCCTTGCCCCATGCATGCCCGCTTGAATTAATCTCGAATGAGTTATCTTTATCCGCGTGTTTCCCTTCCCCGTTCTAATGTTATTCCAAACGTGCATCTTACTCTATGGTAGTTTTCTGTAGTTTTTGTTCTTATTTTATGTTGGTAATGGCCATCTTTTTCCTGAACCATATGGCAAGGCGAGTAGTAAGTACGCATTTTATTGAACACTTCTTCATTAGGCAAATCGGTATGTTAATTTCATGATTAACTTCGGCTTTCCAAAAGCATTGCGAAGCCACTATCCTTCTCTTGATTTGTATTTGTCATTGTGTTCTACAATCCAATTTGTGGAAAACGTCTTACCCTTCTTTGAACATGCATTTGTGTACTTTGGTCATGTCACTTTAGTGTGGTTGTTATGTTTTTACGTGTTTTTTTTAATTACTTTTGAACATCTGTTAGGCAAGCCTTGTTTCGTGAAAACTTGGAAGACTGCATACCTCTCCGAGTCAAATGCTTATACAGTATACTAAAGCTCATTGTTCCTTTCCAGAATACTTTATCGTAAATAGTATGTACGGGGGCTGGTCGAAAAACATTACCTAAATCCTGCTTGCTAATTTTTTCACCCCCAGTTTGTTTCACTGTTGTTTAATTTTTTAAAAATGATATCAGTGAACAATTTCTACACGCGTGTCTAATGATGGGGCCAGTTCTTCATGTCGGGTTTACCTCCCTGCTTTGAATGGAAGAGTAATCGATGAAGAAGTAATTCATTATCGATATCGCTTATTTCTCCGTGAACAAGACATTTATTTGGTCCCGTTGCTTTGATGATCTCCAGAGTTATGCCATCTTGTTAAGGAACGTTGTCCTGTTCTTGGTTCTTTCGGTAAAGTCACGTGGAAAGGAAACAAATAATACAACTATAAAACATTAAAATTCTCACGACGTTTCGACTGCAACACAAGCAATCATCATCAGGTGTGGTGCTAACGTTAAAAAAACCGCAACTTTTTAAAAATTTTCTTGCTGTGGTTTTCACACCTGATGATGATTGCTTGTGTTGCAGTCGAAACGTCGTGAGAATTTTATTGTTTTATGTTTTTATTATTTTATTGTTTCTCTTCTACGTGACTTTACCGAAAGAACCAATAATATGAATCCCTGCAGTCACGAAAGCTTTAAATCAAAATTTGAACTTTGTCCTGTTTCATATTGTGCAAGGCACAGTTGACTGCTTCGAGTGTGACATCTGGAACCTGATTTCAGGACTGTACTTTTTTTTTTGCCATAGAGTTACGTATAACATTTTTCACAATAATTGTATGAGTCAATATCTAATCACATAATGCCTTCATATTTCTCTCTCGGGACTTTTTTCATTTGGGAGTTACCGATCATCAACCTCATTTTTGCTACCTTCATACTTAAAATTATTTCTATTAACATGCTCAGCCATGCTTGTGTTGCGTGCTCGGATGTCTTTTCTCATTCTCTTCCGAATCGTATTACAAAGTCCAGTCTTCACTTTCGCGTAGATAATTGTGTTAACTGGACAGGTGTTAGGACTCGTATATACAAAGTATATTTGCACAATGCGTTAATTTGAACTCTCAAATGGTGAATTGAATTCACTAAACAAATATCGCTAATGTGCGTGTTTAAGAGATGTCCTCATTTATATATTTAAAAAAAACACGTGGCCAGAAGTAATTTTACTATTAAATATGAAGAGGGCTACTATCCAGAAGATGTTCTCTTTATTAATTCCTGTATGCAGTACACACGTATATAGTATACATTTTGCAAGTTTAGTATGTGGTGGTAGTCACTTGGTTTAGTATGCAGTATACACACATCACCGTGTGTATATGTAAATATACAGAGAAACGTGCGTAACAATGGTATGAACAATTTGGGAAACGTATGCTGTATTCCTAAAATGACGTACGCAGTGTGTACATCGTTGAAGTTTAGTACGTTACCGCTTTAGTTACAATGTATAGAGGAGGCACATATAGCCGCTCTCTATTGTATGGAAACACACACACATGCACACAGAGGGAACATGCGTACAAATGTTATGAACATTTGTTGGCCGAGTGTGCTCTGCTCGTAGAATCAAGATGCGATGGTGACACCAAGGGGCAAAGTTTCATCACTTTCTCAGGGAGCCGTGTTGCTTGGGTGGGGTCGTTGGGGATGTTGAGTGCAACTGTAGGGGTCAGCAGTAGAAGATGATGTTGGCAGAAGGAGCTCTCAATGAACTTCGCTGTTCCACTCATTCGACGCAGGCCCTTGAAGCGTTCAATCGGTGTGAAGCCGTCGTGGAGTGTACTTGAATTGTAATGAGCCGGGCTACCCTGCACAATGCACATTTCCTGGCCAGCTGTACATCTACCCAGCCCCATCCACTTTTGGTAAGGTCCTACGATCAATAGCCCTTTCTTTTGCAACGATGGCTCTTCTGAGTAAAGAATGACTCTGCACATCCACGTTTGTTCATACCAGTAACTTTTTCACTTGTCATTCATGCCTTTGTGCTGTTGCGCACGCATACGCTATCAAGTCCCCACATGGTTACATCACACCAGCTGACCAATGGAACTCTGTATACTTTTGAACTGAAGCTTTGGTGTAAGGGCTAGTGTATACTTTGGTCTCCATAGAGAATTATGGAACCAGGCCACAGCTTGTAATGTGTGTAGAATATGTGTAAACTCTCCCCGCTGCTTCGTGCTTTACACAGGGCTGTCTGTACATATACGTTGTACTTCTGGCAACGACTTTAAAATACATTTGTTACCGTGTGCTATTCCTACTGCACTGTCAGTGCCACAGAATGAGACGAATGTAATTTGAAACGCTCACAGAGCAGTGCCACCATCCTATGTTGGACAACAGGCAGCGGAAGGAGATGTCACAGAACTACTTCTGAGATCTCTTTCGGTGACCTTCCACATACAGTATAACAAAAACGCAACACATTCGTGTTTGGGCTGCACTGTCAATGCAGTATCACCAAAACATTTCTCATTCCACATGCTATGCCATAGCGATATTAATGACATGCCAATAAAACTGAAATTATATTTCTCTGGTCTGGGTTCATTCGCAGTTATTATTTGTGTGCAGTCATTGGTACCCTGGGGTGGCTGAAACTCATTTTTGAAAGGATGATCCCAGCAGTTCCATCTCTGGTTCCCTTGAGTCACCAGGTCACGTCCCTTCTGAAGGAAATAATCGCGTCTTTAATTAGCCCTATTGGGACTAGGCTTGGCTTTCCACTAATACATGCGAGGCAAAGGAAGGCTTGTCTTTCCAAAAATACATTTATAATTCAAATCCGTAAATGACGAGAAAACCAATCGCATCAGAAATTACTTAAGTAAAGTTAAAATTAAAAACTACAGTCGATTTGACAGCAGTGAACAGTGATGGCTACTGTACTGATAAGTTCTAGTGAGGGTGGAACTGTTCTACAGTTGTCTTTGTTTAACTGCTGCCTTGTTGGTTGACCCCATTTTCTCAACCCTTTCAGTTGGTGGCCTGAAACGAAATGGCCATGCGTCCAGTTCTCTCGAGCAGGTGGTCTGGATAAGGCTGAGAGATTTTTTTTCGCAACACGCTTAGCACATCTGTGCGTGGGTTGTTGGGTCTAATACATTTAAAAAGAGATTGATAATTTTCTGGAAAGGATTTATTCACCCGCCCCCCAATTTTTTTAATGAAATGGGTTGAATAGATCTGGTAATAGCTCATTGCTTAAAAATACAACTGTTACAATATCCTGCGGGACTATAAGACGCCCTGAAAAGTAAGACGCACCCCAAAGTTTATTTCTATTGTGAATTAGACGTTATAACAACCTTTGCTTTAACATATAAGGGGGAAAAAGTTAATCTTATAATCCGGACAATACGGTATTAAATTGTTGTATTTTGTGAGCACGTAGTTTGTATGTTCCCCTAAATGTTTAACTCTCAATAAGCCAAATGCCCACGTTCCTCTGTAGTTGTGTTGTTTTTTTTTACTCATGCCAATAATAATGACAAAGGAAATTAGATCAGTGGTTGTCCAAACACGGTTTAGGGCAGAGCGCAGCATGTGTTTTAAACAAACAAACAAAAATAAAAAAATAGCAACGGGCCCTTGGGCTTATTTGAAAAATTGAAATAAAATCTGCAATAATAAACTCACCTGCTGTTTGTGCATCTGCATTGAGATTAGTAGTGCCTTGGAGATCAGTACCAGAACAACAGGACATAAAAGGAAACTTGTGTTGACCGAGTATAGATTTACACTGCAGTGTGGTCACGAAGCCTCGCGGTTTGTCTTTTGTTACACGAGTGAGCCAATGCTCCTTCAACTTTGCCTCCAAGTTCTCGATCAAACATTTCGTCCGTTTTTTTTTAAATATGTTCGCGTGAGAATGTGTTTTTTTATTATCAATGCGCTGCTTATAGAGGAAATCTTCAATGAGTCTCAATGTATCTTGGTAAGGAGGGTTCTGTCAAGTTTTACCAGGAAGTAGTCGTGTTGCTACGTGTAATCCCAATTGAGTAATTTTGAGGTAGTTTCTTACTATTGGGTTGTTTTTACTAATACCAGGTATATTGTATGTTTTTTTATCTATGGGAGGAAACCCATGTAGAACATGGGGAAAGCCATATACAATATCCACACATAAAGGCACCTGAGTTGAATTTAACCCTGGCCCTTCTTGCCGAGGCACAAGTGTACATTTGGTCTTCGTGCCATTCTTGGAGCGCTGGTCTATCACGGAGGCGCTGGTTCACTGACAGTCTAAAGTAGTTTTACTTTGAGGGGCGGTTATTGATATGTGTTGTCCCAGTCGAGTAATTTGAGGGTCATTTATTTGCCAAATTTGGATCCTGACACTTGCTCACAGGGCCCATTCTATTTCGAATAATGTCATGGGATCTGGGCACACTGCCTTAGTGCTTTGCTCCATTTCTCTTTGCTGATTTGGTCCTGGCTGTGATGCTATACTCAAATGCATAACCAAGAAGCTGTCCGTTATCTCTTTAAAATTATGAATAGGTGGTTCCCTGTGTCTTTGCTGTTAGGGAATCTTTCTGATCCTCGGGTATTAACACTGATTCTGCAAGACTCCAAGTGGTGGCTTAGCCTGGCTGTCCGAGCCTTGGTCATTAACAACGATGCATCACAATTACATATGTGCCTCGTGCGTTATCAACAAACACCCTATGTGTCGAATTTTGATTTAAAGCTTTCGTGACTGCAGTAATTCATATTCTTAGCTCTTTCGGTAAAGTCACGTTGAAGGGAAACAATTGTGTCCTTAAGATAACTTATTCTGCCTCCGACATTTAATACCGTTAACGCCAGACACTCAGAATCATGAATGTATCACAGTATGGCTAGACATTGTGGCTAGACAAAAAAAAAACCCTTTAGAATCGTAGGTACCTAAGTCTAACTTATGAGAAATAATTAGTCCTTAAAATGTTTTTTTCCAACTTCTGGAATGTATAGGGGCCTCTGCTAGAGGGAGCTCGAGAGAGAGAGAGACACTCGACAACATTTTTTCGACATACTCTTCCACAGTGACCAGGCGCCAAGCCTACCGGTGCACACCTGTAATGCAGTGCATTGGAGGCGAGAGGGCTGTTGCGTCGCACAGCACCGTGAAACTCTCCAACTCTCTGCACTGCAGGTTGGCCACGGCATAGCAGTAGAGCAAGTGTATTGATTGCATCTGTGCGAAGATTTTTTGAGTACCATCCCCTCACATTTGTGGCTTAGCGTAAGATAAAGTGCTCTGCTTCCCTCCCAGTGCTGACTGCATGGTGATGCCGTAAAAGCCACACGTGTCATTTGACTTGCGACCGGTACACCGTCGAGTAGTAGCATAGGCATCGCGCACGCGATCACGCGTAGATGTGTGCTCCATTAGCGAGAGTTCCATTCGTGGTTGCCTTGGGGAGGCCCCGAGGGAAGCAGCCACCGCCGATCGGCGCCGTGTCAGTGGTTTCCCTTGTACGCAAGGTCGTGGCTCCGTCTGAATCACAAAAGGTGACCGGGTCAACTTGGCAAAGATACTGGATGTGTAAAGTTTGCGTCGGTGTGCGGTATGGACCGGCTGTGGTACCTCGGCTTCGTGCACCATAGCCGCTGCGCGTGAATCGATTCTAGGCGCGCGCTCACAAACTCTCCCTTGTGCCGTTTTTTTGTTTGTCGCTGCTGTCTGCTGTTACTTTTTCGCCGGCCATGTGCGAACGCATCGGCAAGCAAGGCGAGACGTGAGATTTATTAGATGCATGTGGGTGGAATTCTGTCGGAGCTCAGGAGGTGATTGTGCTTAAAGGGGTTTCACCTTCCTCGTGAAATTTGCTTGCGGCGTCAAAAGTGTGCATTCGTGCCAGCTCTGAGTACTTTCAAAACGTGTGTGTGTTTTTTTTTAAGACTGTGTTTGTTGTTGTGAAACATGAACAGTCACAGTGACATTCACAAAATATATATAGTTTACATGAGCCCTTAACAAGTAGTATTGTATATTTGACACCACTGTAGTACGTCATTCTTGCAATGAGTATTTAAAACAATACAATAACAAGCATCATGATGACAAAGGTACAGTTCCGTCGTTATTCACAAACTTGCGTTCCACAATTTTGGCTATCCATGAATCGCATCTGGAACTCTGCACAACTGCATCGAGAGGGAGAGATAGAAAGGGATGAGATAAAGAGATGAGAGAGGGAGAGAACTTCTCGAAGCTTTAGAAGCATCTGCAGATGTTGCGCGTACGAGATCACTTATAGAAGCTTCCAAGAAGTTCAACATACAACAACTGTAATTTAATACTTGAATATAACATTTTTATTTACTTTATGTTTTTTTATTATAACAATTTTTTAACCAGCTTATTTATGTATTTGTTGAAGATAATTCAATAATATTATCCGGGAAATTAGCTATTCGCTAGCATCTCCAGAGCGTATCCCTCGAGCGAATACTGTCCATACGTATCGCCGTGAGAAAACACATTTTTCCCAACCGCTTCTGCATTCTTCACTGCACCACGTCCGGCTGTGTTTGCAGATGAACCCAGGTTCATGGGCGTGGCCAATGGCTCCTTGAAGACGGGGGAGGGCCCCTATTCGGTGTGGGACGACCGGCACGCGCAGCAGCGGCGGCACGTGGAATCCACGGCAGCCGGGGTCAAGTCGGCGGTGGTGGAGGAGGGCGAGCTGGTGGTGGGCGGTGAGGGCTGCCCCGTGCCGCCCTCGGAGCACGAACCGGCCCTCGTGATATTCGACAAGGACGGCACTTTGATGTGCTTCCATTCCATGTGGGGGCCCTGGTGCGAGGAGATCGGCCAGAGGTACTACTGGCGGGGGGGGGGGGGGGGTCGCTGGGGTCACAGGGGAAGCGTCCCCGAGTTTGCTCGCCTTTGGTGCTGCGCCACTTGTAGTCGTGAACCGGCGTGCGCGGCTGCGGTCAAGAGCAGGCTGCGTTGCCGCCGGCGTTGATGGTTGCCAAAAAAAATAGACTGGTTAATATTGTCGCGATTGTGCTAGCCATGCACGTGTCATGAGTGTAAAAAAAAATATTCTCCATTGCATGATTCGTACGCATGTATGTTGAACTTCTTTCGCACCGTACGTGGCCAACCGTGTCAATCGGAGGTGCGTGGGAAGGACGGCAAACTAAACACAGAAAGCAGTTCTAAAGAGATGAGTTTTCAAATGATACATTTTTTTTAGTTTTTAATCTGACACCGATTGTGCTATCAGTCAGGGCCTTATCATGAGGCCAAGAGTCCATTTGGAACTCTCATCGAACTGTGCAACCTCCCCCCTCCCTCCCCTCCCCCTTGTATTAGAGAATGATCCACGCGTGCTGGAGAGGAGCCCATGGAAGGAGATCGCAGAACTACTTCCGAGGTCTTTTCGAGCAACCTCTGGTCCACAAAGTAGCGGGGACCGCATTTTGCCGCCCTCCCTGCTGCAGATTGACGGCCCGTCGTATTGCCGTCAAGGCGACGGTTTTTTTTATTCTGAGAGATACAAGTTAAAGACAGAAACAAATTTAGTATTGTAAGGACTTTTAGTACCGTATTCAGTGCAGAGGCTGAAACCATCAACTCACTAGACACGAGAACCCAGTTTATTCCTGTACAGGCAGCTGCTTGGGTTCAGACCCAGGATCTCAGCAGTGCTGGATCTGTACTCTGACCTCAGAACCCACTTGGCACCGTAATTTACCTCTTCAAGTTTCAAAATGACAAGCACTACTCCGATAAAATTCCCGTGAATTCGGAGAATGAAGCGGGTTTACAATGTTTTACCCATGCTTCGCTCCAACTGCTCTTCGCGTTTTCCTTCCCACGTATCTCCGGTTTGCTACATATGGCGCGAAAGAAGTTCAACATGCATACATCATCAATATCATCGTCAGCAGCTGCAGCAGCCATGCACGATCTGTCCACTGTTGGATGAAGGCTTCCCCAAGCCATCGCCGCCTTTTGTAATGCTGTAATGTAGCAGCAGCAGCAACAACAACGGCCGCCATTCGCCACCCTTGTGGCAGTGACGTCACCACGGCACCTGTGACATGCCAGGTGCACTTTGAGGCCACGCGAAGTGACGAAGGCTCGCTGAGAGAAGGTCACGGTACAGACCCAGGTGCCGTGGGTCGGCTGGCTGAAGCAATGCAACACTGAAGCATTCCTTCCTTTATTGGTCATGTTTCTCACCTGCCCGTTTCATGTTTTGTACACAAGGTTTTGAGTATGTGTGCACATGTATCTCTGTGTACTATACGAATGTGTACGTGCCCTGCATGTTCTATATTGTACAGCCCTGGATAAGGGCCTCCCAATGCCTTGTCCGGTCATAGAGAATGTTTGGCCAAACTTTACTACGCTGGTATGTGCGGGTTGGTGAAATACACCGAGTTCTAGATTTACAGTGTACAAGAGTAACACTAAGTACCCACTACAAGGGCTCTTTGAAGCCCCTTCTGCCAGTAGGGTTGCACCGTTACCTTTAAATTTTACCTCTAATTTTTGTTTTTAATTTCTTTAAGATTGTACAAGACTTATCGGTCAAACAGTTAGGCAGGCGAGGCATATCAAAGGCAATACACCAGGGTTCAATAGTGAACGGAAAGGACAAAGCATCACGCAGCCAAATAGTCCATGAAGCCGCAGAGTGATCGGCAAGAAAACGCGTTTCTAATCTTCGGCTTTCTCCGCGTCAACGAGAGCCGACACCGACGGTACAAGCAGCACGAAGCTCGCTCACTCGCTCATCCTCTCCGCTGTCTCTGCCCTTGCCCTGAAGGGGATAATGAAAGAGCAGGGATTAAATGTATTTTTGCACCCTGGAGGACTCGCCAACCCTGCATTCCCCCACCCCCCTTGCATCCACAACACTCGGGTAGCTGCAGGAGATGAACATAACTCCGGTCGATGAGTAAACAAGAGCAGGGCGACCCGGAGGGTCTGGTAGGCCCAGGAAAGAATGCCACGTGAGGCCTCCTGATCCATTAACGACAAAAAAAAACAACCAGGCCCGTTGTGTGGGTTTCTTTTTGCGTGTGTGAGCCCTGAGAAATTTCCACCTCCCCCCGCCCCCCCATCACTAACAGCAACACTGACCACGATCCATCTGTGTTAGGCCTGGGTACAAAATCCTCCCTAACCTCTAACGACATCTTTTCACCTCCTAACATTATAGCCACCGCGGCTGGAGGCGAACCGCGTCGCGAAGTCCCGGATCTTCGTGTGGCCGCGCGCAGGGTGGTGGCTGTCACGGGGCGCCCCGAGCTGCTGGGCTGCGTCTACCGGGCGCTGGGCTACGATGGCGAGCGGCGCCTTGTCCAGCTGGGCAGCATCGCCGAGAAGACGATGGAGCAGGTGCAGCTGATGCTGCGCGAGGCCCTGCAGCGCGAGCACGGCCTGGAGGACGCGGAGGTCGAGCGGGTGGTGCGAGTGGCCTGGAGGGATGACTGCAGCGGCGGCAGTATGCGGCCTCTCGGCGACTTGGTGGCCATCTTCAGGAGGCTCAAGGAGCGGGGCTTCAAGGTGAGTCAAAGTCGGTCATCTTGGTGGTTTATTTTTTTTTGTTCCCTGGGTGGTGCCCATCTCCTGTTTGCAACGCTGAGCCAGCAGTGGTAATGCCTCGTTCTCCCTACGGCAGGGGTGGGTGTATATGCGGGACAACCACCAGAGGGGCGGTACTTGAGGTGTGAGAGCATGGATGATTTTGAAACATCATTGCGAAAAAAAGTTCGACATATAACGTAATTGTCATCATAATCTTCTTTGTTGGGCATAATTGTGCCCACTTCCTCTGCGGCATATTCAGATGCGTTTAGCCTTTGGCGCTACGCAAATCAAAATCACAATTGCTCGGGTTGCGATGGTCAAGATGGATGTTGTCATCGTCACTATGGTAATCTTCGTCATTGCCATCATCATTGCTGTTGTTACCATTGTCGTCACCATCATCCTTATCGTCAGAGTACCCAACCTCGGATGACCGTGTGACCTCAGGGATCCGATTGGAAGTTGCCATCCCAGTTGCCCCTGTAAGGAGAGTATTGACTGTGGGTTCCTGTATGTGTGCAATAGAGAATGGCGTAGCAGTAACAGTTGCCGGTGACGATTGCCCCTGGGCATGCCATAACCGTAAAGCATCTGTGCATGTGTATGTATACATTATGAACACATTTTAACTCCGGCTGAAAGCATTGTTGCGTTATGTCTGTCTGTAGCAGGGGGGGGGGGTTCACGATCACTCTCATAAGATTGATCCAATATGCATCAAACTTTTGTTGCTATTCAGAAATTAACCTACATTAAAACGGACAAATTAACCAAAGGTTTGGCCAAACTTTGGAGAGAAAAAAAAACGGCGCTAAAAGTCCTTCGCCTCGGCATGCCAGCGCTGCCTGCCATGGTGCGTGCGCCCTCCTCGGCAGAGCCACTTCACTGTCCCAGCTCCCCCCGTTATCTTGTCGCGGCCTACAGATGGACGACTTCCTTCGCTTGGTGCGTGCGCTACTGCTGTCGCCACTCAATAGATACTTACGTGGTCAAGCGCATGTTTTGAATGCGTCGGGGGCGTCGCCAGATTCCAACGGGCACGCCCAATTATATTCCTTCCCCCCGCCCCCCGCACCCCCGCCCCCGTTTGACCGCGCATCTCAAAAGATCGCCATCTGCACGTCAGACTCGCGGGCGGGCACCGAGGAGTTCATCGACGCCCAGGGCCTCGCGCCGCTCCTCGACTCGGTGGTGTGCGGCGACGACGCCGGCATCGTCCCCAAGCCCTCGCCGAGCCTCGCCCTCGACATGTGCCGGCGGCTGGGCGTGGATCCGTCGCGCGCGGCCATCGTCGGCGACACGCCCACGGACGTGGGCATGGGCCGCGCGGCCCGCCTCGGCCTCACCCTGGGCGTGCTGTGCGGCGTGGGCGTCGAGAGCGACCTGCTGGCCGCCGACGTCATCGTGCCCGACGTGGAGACCGCCGCGGAGGTGGCGCTCGCCGCGTTTTCGCCGCGTGGGGGCGGCTGTCTGCCGCCCGTCCGGCTGACGCCCTCCGGCGTGGCGAGGCTTTTGTCCGGCGCGCACGACAACCTCGGAGGCGGTCGTCCGTCGAGCTAAGCCGGCGGCCGGGTCGTGGCGGCGGCTTGGAACGCGCGTTTTTGGGTCGTCCGACGTCCCCTCGGAACGTTTTCTGGAACCGAGTTAAATCGACGAAAAGGGCGCTGCGGGCACAAACGTCAGACGTCGGATACGACAGCGCGTCGGGGAGAGCTGTTGAAACGAGACCACGAAAAAGCTACGCCTTTTGCCTTTGTCCGGACGAGAGTTGTCTCCCCACCTTCGGGTGAAATGGTGACCAGTTAGTCATTGGGGAAATATTAAACTTAAGAGCATTACTTTGTACCGGTAAATATTTGTTTGTGGGTTTGCCTGTTTCTCTAGACTTTTACCTGATTGTTAAATTTGTTGTGTCAGCACAGCCATGAGTTTAACTTCACCCTTAGATAAAACGGCAGTGCAAGCATTTTTCTAAATAATTTAAGGTGGCCGGATGTTTTGTACATTTTTCCACTGCAATGTCGTTTTGGACTACAGTGTTCGATAAACAACACTTTTTATGAATGACAGACGTTCATGCAATCCACGCTTCCATTACAGAATTAAATCGCTGGCTTCTAGCGCACCGATTTCATAACGTGTAGCATATACCATATTGAGTGTTACCAATTATATTTAATTACCGTTAAATAATTAACGTACATTGTTCCCAAAGAGCTATGAAATAAGCACTTTAACATATATATTCTTGGTTCTTTCGGTAAAGTCACGTAGAAGGGAAACAATAAAATAATAAAAATCTAAAACAATTTTTTAAAATTATTTTATTGTTTCCTTTCTACATGACTTTACCGAAAGAACCAAGAATATGAATCCCTGCAGTCACGAAAGCTTTAAATCACTTTAACATGATTAAGTTATTGATTGACGTCCGTATTGTAATAAAAACAATATAATGAGAGTAGAATGTTGATTACGCGCGGTCTGAATTTTTGGTAGCCTTTTATTGATAAATAACTAAATAATAGCATTCGTCTTGAAGATAACTCCATTATCAAACTCCTGAGCGATCTTCCGTTAAACGTTTCCATCTAAAGAGTTTACCAGCTTTATTCATGTTTTTTTTTTATTAACAAGAGACATACACCACGTCTTATGTGGCTGCACCAACGGCGGTGTTCGTCTGCGTTGTGACAAGTGGGCCCTTTTTGAAAATGCAATCATGCTGTCGCGTTATTCAAAAATCTCTCTTCCAAAAAAACCAATCAGTGCCCGTTGCCTCTCACCCCGAGGAGTGGCCACTCGGGCAAAAAAAAGTTATACTAGGCTATTAGTTGGCTTTTACTCACGTTAAACAAAAGGAATGCATATGTACGCAAGGGTTAAGTAAAGCAAGGGAATTGTTAAGTTCGTTGTGTAGCCATCTGTGGTGGGTCCGATTTATATATATTGAAAAAAAATTGACCTAAAGAGAGGATGATGCACTTACTCCATGACAGCCCCCTCATTATTGATTTGTAGAAGTACACGTTTGGAAGACACTGCCCCGGGTGCAGCGGGCAGCACGCTGGACTCGCGATCCAGAGGATGCTGCTTCAAATGGGCTAAATCTCTTAAACCCCCCCCCCCTCCCACCTCTCTTACCCAGCAGTGTATATGGGGTGCACGGCAGGCAGGCCGTGTGTGGTGGGGCAACGCGTGGGTTGCTCCCACCTCTTCCAAGATGTCCCAAGCCGGCGTGAAATAGTGGGACAAACGCCCTCCACAAGGGGATCTCTTAGAGTACGGTTGGCCACATTCGGTGCGAATGAAGTTCTACGTACGTACGGAAATCCTTCTGCCAGCAGTGCTGTGAGCAAGTGATTGCAGGGCTCCAATTTCTATGTATAATAAAGTAACTGTAAGGTTGTGAGGCGTTAGTATGCTGAAACATACGGCAAGAAGTGAAAGCCTGCATGCACTTCTCTTTTAACGTGGCTCTTCTCACAGAGCGTTTTGGCCGCCACTCAAATGCTTGGCTTGCCAAACGTGAACGAATGTAAAACGCGTTCCTGTTCACGCGTGCCCCCAGTGCGAGTGAGAGGGTCCCCTTTGTCGTTGGCCTTTTCACCATCGCTAAGGAAGCGCGCGCGTGTATCATCGACCCCCTCCAAAGGCCGCTAGCACGCGAAGTAGCATCGCGCACGTACAGTACTATACCGCGGGCCTCGCTCAGATTAGGCACGGTTAAACCCCGCTTTGGTGTGCAAGCCGTAGCATCGTGACCACCCCCACCCCTCCGTCCCCCTTGACCTTTGACAGCCTCTATCTTGTCACAGTCATTCCGCGGAACGCGAGTGTTACTAAGATGCCCAGCGTGGTTGTCCCATTACCCCCATGAATATTTTCCGGGATTGCTGGACTTGGCTGGAGTAGGTGGCGTGTGACTGCTAGCAAATGGCCACGGCGAGAGGTTGCACCGAACGTCGACCCATGCGCAGGAATCTTTTAACGGAGCTCGGCCCTGGAAATGGATAAAAAATAATGTGAAAATGGTAACGTAATCGTAAATCTTGACTTAAAGCTTCCGTGACTGCAGGAATTCATATTCTTTGATTATTTCAGCAAAGTCACGTAGGTAGGTTCAAATTAATAAAAAAATAAATAAACTACGACATTTCGATCACAACGCAAGCGATCGTCATCTATCTGCGTGACTTTACCGAAAGACCCAAAGAATATAACGTAATCGTAGTTGGCTTCGAACCGGTCGACAATTGGGTGTCTGGCAATTGGCAGCGGTGCGCGTGACCACCGCTGCTGTTTACACGGTTAACTTTCTGGGGTGGTTGTAGCTAGCTCGTACCTGCCCTTCCATTGCAGGCTACCGCTACCCCGGCCGCCGCCGCCGCCGCTGTGTTGGTTGCGAAAGAGTACATTTATTTTTTTGTTTAGGACATCGCGCCACCGCGTATCACTCGCTCCGTCTCGCCCGTCACCGTGCGAGGTCACGAACACCGGTGTCACTGCAATACCCTCGCGGCTTTTATTTGTTGCACAACCATCCACCGTCACTTTCCAAAATGCTTACAAATTCACCCTACCCCCACGATAAACCCCAGGATTTAGGTCTGATATAAAATAAAACAATATATAATTCCAACCACTCTCAATCGACCAATTGATGTCAGATGGAATTTCCCCTCCCCCCTCCTCCCCACACTGAGCAGTGTGGCTTGGTAAAGACTAGTGTGTGTGGGACAAGATTCCAGTTCTGATACTGCTCCCAACTTAACTTAGCGATGGCTGCGCAATTGAACTCAGGCCGCAGGGGTTCATAGCGCAAGTACACCAACCACTGTTCCACCGCTCCACCTGTTTTTAATGTTTTCCAACTCGAGTTGAAACCACGAATGCATTAGCGCTCTCTCTGCATGTATGTATAGGTTGTATCAACTCTGTCCGTCTGTCTACAATGTCTGTCTGTATCGTTTTGAATCTGTACGTCCTCGGTCTAGATTGTATGCTGTGATCAATGGCGCATTGACACTTCTCGTGATACTAGTTCTCATTAAGAGGCAGGTGATAAACCCTGCGATGGCTTGGTGCTGTTTCTCATCGTGTCTGCACTCCTAAAGTTTTACATTGGTGCCACCGGGATGCCTGTGTTGGAAGTCGCAGAACGCCAAGTGCCGCATTGCGCGTGTGGTGTGACTGCAGGGATTTCACAGCGCCACGGCCCAGTGTGACACTTGGTTCTCAAGCGGAGGTTGCATGTTTTTGCTCAGTGGGAGCATTTCCTAATAAGACTAATAAAAAATGGTGATGATACATTAACAACGTGTGGAGAATACGTATTGTGATGGTAGAGGTGGTTTACTAACGTGAGCGCATTAAAATATTTGCGAGCCGAACACTGGATCGTCACGTGTGTCATGTTTTTTTTTTACGAATGGTTTTGTCTGTCTGTCTGAAATGCGTCCAGATGCTGCTGCCCAGGTGTCATGGTTAGCGCAATGAACTTGCGATGCAGAGGCCGTCGGTTCAACCTTCTCGCGTGAAATTGAAACAATGGGCAGATTTCTTAAATCTCTCCGCCTCTCTCCACCCAGAAGTATAAACCGGCACACCACAGCGAGGCGATCGGAAGGATGGCGTGTGGTGGGGTGGGGTGAGGTGTGGGTACTCCCACCTCTGCCAAGATGCGTGTATATAAATGTTGGGACTTCTTTCGCACTGGACGTAACAAACTGCGCCAAATGGAGGCGCTGATGTGTGACCAGTGGAAGAGTAGGCCAAATACCACAGTAGAGGGTACTTGTTCGGAGGTCCCTGTAGTGGAGGGCCCTTCTGCCATCGTTGGCGTGAACAAGTCATTGCAGGGCTGCTCCTTTACCTTGCGTATGAGGAAGTGAAAATGTCAGCAGCCCATGTTAAATACAGTGCATACCACGTATGCGAGCGGTGTCTGCAGTCCATTGAATTTGTTTGCTCAATTCTAGATTTGAAGCTTTCGTGACTGCAAGGACTCATACTCTTTGGTTTTTTCGGTAAAACGTAGGTAAAAATAAATAAATGAAAACAACTAAATTGTTTGCTCAAGTCCAAGATCACGATGCTATTCAATGTTTTTTTGTATACGAGTGGAACGTGTCGTGCCCGGGTACTGCAAGGTCCGCCTGTGTCCGTCCAGTGTTCGCCGAGCTGCATTGGCTTCCGGTTGCTCAACGAATTGCATTGTTATAAGGCTGCTCGTTACACACAAAGTGCTTGCCACAAATGAAACCACAATAGCTCGCTGATCTCGTCGAGGAACATAAACCAGCATCACGCGAACTCCCGTCATCCTCGCAGCAGCGGCTATTGGCTGGCCATCGAACAAAGACGGCGGTCACCGCATCACTTGCTTTCAGATGCGCTTCTGCGGCCGTCTGGAATGCTCTTCCGATATTATCAAGCCACTTGAGCTATGCACTTTTACATTTGAAAACTCATTTGTGTTTCGCTACTTTCTGTGTTTCGTTTGCTGTCCTCTCCCTGCACCTACAATTAGCATGGTTGGCTACGTACGGTGCAAAAGAAGTTCAAAATACAATAGGTTTTTTTGTACATGACGGTCACGCAGCTAAGTACTATCCACTGAGCTATGTTGCTCTTTTTCAGAACTGACCTGGCCACAAATGATAGCTCAACAAGTCGGAGGACCCAGAGAAAAGTCCACGCGATCACGGGGAGAGACACACGTAAACTCCAAATATACAGCAGGCGTCAGGATTGTAATCAAACTCATGACCTCCTGTGTACCAGGAAAGGTAGTTGACATCTTACCACCGTGGTGTGATGACACACATTGAATGAATTCGTAGCAGCGGTAAAAACATTGTTCAAAGCATGTTAGAACGATGTTCAATATTCATTTTTCTTAATACAGGTCTAAATGTTGAGGGAAAAAGCGGAGGACCCAGAGAAAAAAACCACGCCACCACGAGGAGACACGCACACTCCAAATGTACAGCAGGCGTCAGGGTCGGGATCGAACCCACAACCTCCTGTGTACCAGGCCAGGGAGATAACATCTCGCCGGCGCGGCGCCCCAAAAGGAAAATGTTAGGGGTCAATAGCGGAGGGCATGGAGGCGAGGCTCGGTCGAATTGCACTCTTTTAAAATTCCCTTTACACTGTAAAAAAAAAAACCTGTGGCGTGACCTTGTCTAGACGGGGGTGGGAGTGGGTAGCATACAAAAACCCAGGGTGGGTGGTCACGACAGAGTCAACGTTCAACCAAACTTTAAGCGAATGTTACAGGCCACACAATGAGTAACGGTACGATCCACTTTTTGTCTGTCATGCATTCTGCCTCAACGTTCACTATCGCCCTCTGTGTATATGTAGTGGGCCCAACTGAGTCACAGACGTACTTCTTAGAGGCAACACATTTATTACACCAACACGAATACACAAAGCGGTAGCTGCCCCTTTACCAGATAACAGCCTAGGGTGGTGGACCACCCGGCTAACTACACTAACACACTGGGAGTTAGCTACAACGGACCGGACCCCGGCTCGGGTTCCGGACCACGTGTTGGAGACTATTCTAGACGTAGACCTTCAGATGACGCTAGCAACAACCAACCCAGGTCCATGCGGGGACCCGGCTTATATGCTCCCGGGCCGGGGCCGGCTCCACCCTTGGCCCCGCCCACCTTCGAGAGAGCTCTGGTTCTCTCTCGACTCTTCTTGAGACAACTTTCCTCGGACACGTGATCACCCCTTAGCCCCCACCTGGGGGCCCCCCTATAGACTCACGGGCCCCCCTGTAGACTCACGTGCCGTCGGGGTCAACCAGAGTGCCGTGGCCCAGGATAACCCTGTCCCTGGGCTGACACTCTCCCACTCCCTCCTGTAGGAGTCAGCACTGCACGCCACGCGTGGTGCCACTGAGCGCTATCCCAGCGCTCACCGAGCCCTCACTAGGGCTGGTACTACACCCACCTACGGGGTGTCCGCGATGACGATGCATCGCACGCCGTGCCTCGCTAAAGCCGGCATTACTTGGTGACATTCACGATGTTGCTACACACGTGATGTCCGCGATGTGAGTACATCGCACGCCGTGCCCCTATAGGGCCGGCACCATACAGTGACATCCGCAATGTCACTATACATATATACTCGTGAAGCCTTAGGTAAAGCCCATCGATTAATCGTGCTAATTTCGTTTTTAACCATTTATAGGACCCTACCGATGGCTCGGTCCTATCATCTCTCCTCTTGGGGGGTTGACAATTAGTAACCATACGGTGGGGAGGTCAAGCAGTGGTTGTCTTATTAGAATGTGTCATTTCCACCGGGAGATAAACACTGTCTCAATACAGAGACTCTTCTACTTACGAACTTTCAGAGATACGAACAAACCTGTCGGTATGTCCAGTGGGATGTTTGGACCGAGAGTCGTAAGTTCAACCGTCGCGCAATAGATGGCAGTGTTGGCATCTACGTCTGCAGAACGTGAAGAACCAGTGGCATCTACATCTCCACGAGACTATACAACTTTTAAAGCCATTCCCCGTGTTTAGTGTGCATGACGTACAACGTCTTTGGAATCGACAGGAGTAAAGTTGGACTTGCGGACAAATCGACTTACGAACAGACCTCTGGAACCTAACTCGTTCATAAGTAAGGAAGTCCCTGTACTCATTTGAGCAGCAAATCACATTGACCCCACCCAACCAATTTGTTGAGAATTTAGAGGGGGGTGGGGGGGGGTGCTCAGCCAGGAGAAGGTGGGCTCTGCCACCTCGGGCTATAAGGTGATGAAATTTCGACATAGGAACAAACCCAGCGGCGAAACTAACATTCTCAAGACCCGTGTTTATTCGCGCACGCGTCGACACAGCTATGACCACATTTAGAAAGAGACGTCAGTCTGAGAATGTTTGTATTCAGAGAGAAAAAAAAACATCCAATTACTGTATAAACAAAGATGAGTACCGTATAACTACTGTACGTCAAACATGACGGTCCGCTGGGTGTTACTGCCTTCACTTGACCAAACACCGATAAAATATGATACAGCCCTTTCAAATACATCCAGTAGGATTTCAATAAAAAAATGAAGATCCCGTAGCAATGTGAAACGTCCACAGGGTTGATTAGAAATTGATATGCGATTTGCATGAATTTAGATGTTATCAGTTGTCACGACTCCTCAACACCGTTGTCAATAGGACTGCCCGAAAGAGGAAAGCATCTAAATATAGGTGATGTCAATTGCCCTTCTTCGTGGCAAAGAGATCTAAAACCGTGATCGATTGTCCTCTTTGGGGATGTGCGGCACCGCCAATGTTGGAAATTACGATGACATGTAATTTTAAGCTTTTATATTCTAGAACGTGTAGATATTCTACGGGATTTTTTATTTGTTTGTAAAAGAGAACACTGACGGGAGGGGGGTGGGTTATGTTCACGATGTAATGAGGCACTTAACAGACAATTAAAACCGAGCGGTAACTGCAGTTGCACCGCTTCAATCCAAATCCAGTGGTTGTCGCAAATCGCAGAAAGTGGCACGGGTTGTTAAACGCATTTAAATACTCAATTTGGGCAAGTATTCATGGAATATAGATACATATTTTATGTACACGGTAGCTTCAGAGAATATCACATTTCATGGGGCGTGATGAAATTTAAAAAAGGGCGACGGAGGCTCCTCGCGAGTGGCGGACCTAGTAGGTACAGTACGTGTGTATGTTGAACTTCTTTCGCACCGTACGTAGCCAGCCGCGCTAATCGGAGGTGCGGGGGAAGGACAACAAACCAAACACAAAAAGCAGATCTAATGAAATTATTTTTCAATTTAGATTTTAAAAAATGCATAGCTCCAGTGGCTTTTTAATATCGGAAAGAAGAGCGTTCCAGACGGCCACAGAAGCGGTGACCGTCTTTGTTCGATGGTGAGCTAAACGCCGCCGCTGCTGCTGCGAAGATGACCCGAGTCCACGTGACGGTTTATGCCCCTTGACGAGATCAGCAGCGTGGTCCATTTTGCGGCAAGCACTTTGCGCGCAGCGAGAGTGAAAGCACACGCCGCCGGTGACTTCACAAGGTTGCCACGTAGATCATTTCGCCGGAGAGGTCCTCCTCGTATCGTGACGTCGGCGGCAGTGGCGGGCTCTCGCCGTCGTCACAGCCGCTCGACCCGTTGTGCGGCCGCGGCGGCCGCTGGAGCCGCTCGATCTTGGCGGCGACGTTTCGGATGTTCCCGTTCAGGAGGTCCTTCATCGCCTCGCTCACCTCCTCCATCGTCATCTCATTGACGGTCCGGCGGATGTTCACCGGAGTGGCCACGGCATTGCTGCTGTCCCTCGCGCCCTGCTGCTGCTGATGCTGCTGCTGATGCTGCTGCTGCGCTTTCCAGACGCCCGCCTGCGGAGCGTGCACGGGAGGCAAAGAGGGAAACGGGGCTCCGTTAAGTGCTAGAAAGAGAGGGATTTCGACGCGTCGGAGGTGATGATGCGGACATGCGATCGCTTGCTCGCGCCGCCGCGTTCCTCCACCCGTCGTGTGACCTAAAGCTTTTGGCGTCGGCTCCGGAGCGAGACGGAAGAGGCGGATCGTCGGTGCGCACCGCTCCCTTTCAATGGGTGAAATACGGCACTGCAAGTTCTCGTGCCGCCGCCGCTGCCCGGAAGGGCCTCTAGTCGAGGAAGCGCGAGAGAGAAGAGGATGTTCTTGGTCCGAGCTTCCAGGCTGTCTTGGAAGGGGTGGGAGCGACCCAAACGTTGCCCCACCGTACATGACCAACCGATCTGCTCGCTGCGGTCCACCGCAGCATTTTAACTGCTGAGTGCTGAAGGTTAAAAGGTGGAGGGGATTGAAGATATTTAACCCAACGTTTCAACTGCTGAGATTGAAGTAGCAAAGCTCTGGATTGTGGGTCCAGCGTGCTGCCGGCTGCACCAGGAGCGGCGTCGCCAAACGCGGTTGCCTACGTACGGTGCGAAAGAAGCTCATCATACGTACGGAGTTTGTTGTCCTTCCCCCACACCTCCGATGAGCAGACGTGCATAGTACAATAATGAGGGACTTTCATGGAGCAACTGGACAACCCTCTCTTGATAATATATTCATCTGTTGACATTTATCTATTTGTATATATACGCCACGGATTGCCGTGCAAACGAACACACCAATCCACTCACTTCGCCTAACCCACGCGTGCATGTACAAGGCCTTTTGTGTTTCATGGGGTTGTGGGAGCGTAGCAAGTGCAGTAGAGCGATGAAATTCGCTGCACTGCCCTGTGCTGCCAAAAGCAGCCTGCACAGTACCTGCCTGACCTGCATGTTGGTGGTGGCCCATCCGAGCACTGTCCAGGACCAACCCCGCTTAGCCGCTGGGATCTCTCAAGTCGAAACTCATCCCGGGCGATTTGACCGTGGGCATGATCGTCGAATACGCATCCCTGACTTTGTACGAACCAACGAGCTGCTCCACAACACTCGCCCACCGGTCCACCCGCAACCTCTTAAAAAACGTCACCCCCTCCTGACCCTCTCACACCCTCCGACCTCACAGGGCATTTGGCTGCTGCCTTGAATTTCCCCATGATGATGATGGTGGTGAGCCACTTGGTCGAGCGATCGTTTGTGATCGCCAGGTCGCTTCTGAAAAAATATCTACATAGCTCAGTGGGTCTTACCTGGTAAAAAAAAAATGTTTAGTTGAGTTTCTCGCATTCATCCAGTATTTATGTACGTTGCACTTCTTTCGCAACGTACGTAGCCAACCGCGCTAATCAATCAAGTCTTTATTTTTATGGCACTATTTCGTGCAAACGATGCAATTCAAAGTGCTGTACAGGTAAAATAAAACGTTGTTAAAAGTCTAAATCGCAAGAACAATAACAGTAATTTCCATCCAAAACAAAATCGCAGTATAATAAATTGCTAGCGAAGGCATATTTAGAATTTTAAAAACCCCCACTATAAAAGTATCTTAAGTAAAAAAGCCAGTTTAAGAAAAAAAATCAAGTCTCTAGATGGAACTTAAAATTGCTTAACGATCGCGAAGCCCTCTCACCGTCCGCGCGAGGCTGCCGGCGCTGCCCTGCCGCAGCGTCTCGCGCTGCCGGCTCCGGGCGAGACGCTGCGGCGTCGCCTCCCCCCCCACGGAGGGCGACCGACGGAAGACGGAGAGCGGCCGCTCGCCACCGCCCGCCGCCACCAGGCCCCGCAGGGCGTCCAGCTGGAAGCTGGGAGACGACCGCGGCCTCCGCGCAGGGGCCTCGCCCGACGGGACGGGGGACCGCGCGGCCCGGAGCGCCGTGGGGCGCTGCGCGGGGCTCCAGCTGTGGCCTCTGGCGGCGGCGGAGGCCGCTCCGGCGTGGTCGCGCAGCGGCGCTCCGGGATTCTGAAAGAAGGGAACCCGACCGTGGAGCCGCCGTGGAGCTCTCGTGTCTCGCTCGCTCGCCCGCCCGCCCGCGGGTCCAACCGCGTCGCCGGTAGAGTTGAGGACGCGGCGCGTGACTCGTGGTGATTACGACCATGGGCGAGAGGAATACCGGACGCGGTGTGCCGGGTGCGGGAATATTTTCCGGGCTTGGAAATGTTCTGTTTCTGGAGTAGGTGGCACGCGCTTGGTAGTAGCGACGGCCACAGTGAGATGCATAGTATACTGGATGCGGTGTACCGGGTATGTGAATATGGTGAGATGTTAACTACCTCGCCTCGTGTACAGGAGGTCGTAAGTTCGATCCTGACCCTGATACCTGTGTATTTGGGGTTTGCGTGTCCTACCCGTGGTCGTGTGGATTTTTTTCCCTCCATATTTAAAAACAACATGCATTTAGAGTATCTGGCTGCTGTACATTTCCACGTGATTATGATGATGATGAGCCACTTCGTTGAGCTGTTATTTGTGGCCAGGTCGCTTCTGAAAAGAGCTACATAGCTCAGTGGGGCCTTACTTGGTAAAATAAACAGTTTAGTCACATAAATGAGTTCATGACCATCAAATATAGACAAGCAAACAAATTAACGCATTGATAAAGCAGCTAAAGACAGCACTATGGGAAGGTGTGCCTTACTATATTTTACATGTATATAGATATACAGTCTGTTCTCTTATGGTTTTCATAACGCTAATTGGATATGACACGATGATGAAATGTATTAGGGGACACATTTTTTTGTCACGCTTATGCGAATTGGATATAACGCGATCGAGCAAACGTAACTGCGTCGCGCGAGTCGGAGTAAGCAGTCGTACGGCTGCCTCGGCGTAGCATCGCACGAGGCACTGGGATGCTGCTGGATGCTTCGAGATGCCACCACGCGCCTCGGGTCTTTGTTCAGCCCTGCGTTATGCATCTCACGCGTTATCGCGGACTGTGCTTCACCCCCTACGTTATATATTATTTATTATAACGCGATTTTACATAACGTGGTGTTCTTCAGGGACGCAATGACCGTGTTTTAGGGGAACAGACTGTATATAGAAGTGGACCAGTGGTGCAGTGGTTAGCGCACTGCGTCATTAATATAGCGACCTAAGTTTGATACCCCGCCATGGTGAAGTGGCGAGCGATATCTTAACTGGTCCTGCATCAGAAGGGTGGCATCATTCTTTGGCCCCACGGTTCCTGGAATGCATCAAAATCAAAGCAAATCCCTCTTGCCAAAGCTTAGGTGACATCGCGAACCCAAGGGAAAGAGCTGGGGGAGGTGGGGGTGGTCGCGGAACGCGGGAGTGGATCACTACTCGGTCACCACACTGCTGCTGTACCCGTGGCCTGCCTTGAATTTCTTTCCCAGAAATTGACATTTGGCCCAGTGGGATGCACCCGCCTCTGGTCAGACGCCACAGAGTGCGGCAGCGGCAGCAGTGGGGGCGGGGGGTGTGGGGGAGGAGGTGGGGAGTGAACGCTCGCGATAACGCGTTGGGCCGGAGCAGGCGTTCTGTTCAACGAGCGAGAAGCTCTGACGAGAGCGAGACGAGTGTGTGTCGTCGTCGGTCTGGAAGGGCCCCATCGTCGCAAATGGCTTCGGTAGACGCACTGAGGTGAGGTGGGCGAGCGCACAAGTTGGACATATTTTCTGGGTGAAGGCGCAGGTCCGAAGCGAGCATCTTTGCCCCTGGGAAACGTCCGACGAATGTTTTACTCACCTGGGTGTTCAGTGGTGGCAGGCGGAAAGGGAAAGCCGTCCGCTGAACGGCAGCCAGGGGGTGGTTCCAGTCAGGGCTCATGTCCCCACGCGGACACTCGCCGGTCAGAGAGGGCATCCTCCCTAATTACGACGAGAACATAACGTCAACCGTTGTTCTCCCGCGTGGTGAAAGAGAGAGGACTCGCGAGCGAGCATGACGGAGCGATGGAATCAAGGTTTTTCGGCAAGATGCTGGGTGGATTATTACATCGCGGGACGGTGAGAGATGGAGACGGCTTGGGGAGGAGGGCTCCATCCAGCAGTGGACTGAGCGTGGCCGATGATGACGGTGATGCAAATTGGAAAGTCAGTTCGAGTGCAAGCGATTGTTACATGGCACGATTGCTTGGGGTTGGCATCATCCGTCAGGAGGTTGACCACGGCTTATTTTGGTGATGATTATGATGAGTACATTTGGCATTCGTGCTGTTCCTATAGTGACGGCGCTGTGTTTCGCAGACGGGTATAGTGTGTCAGCAGAAGGCGATGTTGCTTTCGATGTTTTTACCCAATGAAATAACATGCGGGAAATGTCTTGTGGGGCCTTCCATAAATTACGTCACGCGATTTTGGACGATGTTTTACTTCCCCCCCCCCCCCATCGTCACACGGCGTCACAAAAAGTTAGAACCCCCCTCAAATATGACGCCACAAAGCTCTGCCGCCCCCCCCCCAAAAAAAAAGTATTTCCATTTTGAAAATAAAACATGCTTCAAATCGCTTTAAACTATTGTCATTGTAGTGCGTATTTAATGTGGCGCTGCACTCTGGTGTTGTAGGAGAAAACATTTATTAAAAAGTTTATTATACTAAGTAGAACGTGTTGTCTATATTTATTTAAAGTTGCGCATTTTGATGTGACGTCACATATCTCAAACCTCCCCCCCCCTCGTCACACATCGTCACAAATGTCTGACACCCCCCCCCCCCCCAGGTGCGTGACGTCATTTATGGAACGGCCCGTAGTCTGCCAACGTGGACCGTGGTGCTGGCAGGAATGGGCTACTCATTTTAGAATAACACCACAAGAGCTTTCACATCCACTTCAAAAAAAGTAGTCACCGCGTATTTACAATAACCTTATTCTCCAGATTATAAGGTGCTCCGGAGAGTCGCAGACACCCCCCAAACTTGTGCCTGGTGTCAAACACATTCTCCTGCGGAGGGAGCTGGTAGGAACGTTGGGTTGCTCGGTCAATGGCCAGGGTCACACGGCAGCACCACGTGGTGTATTCCGCAAATATGCCCGACTGTGAGGGGCGGGCACAAGCCGGCGTGAGTAGGGTAAACGTTGAGTTTTATAAGGGAACCACGGGGTGACCAGCCCCTCCCCACCCAGCCCCACCCCTCCCACCCAGCCCCACCATCCCCACCCAGCCCCTCCCCACCCAGCCCCTCCCCACCCTCCCCACCCTCCCCTCTCCACTCTCCCCTCCCCACCCAGCCCCTTCCCACCCTCCCCACCCAGCCCCACCCCTCCCATTTTTGGATGCACGACGGACGGACGGACACAAGAATCCCCTGTGGGCTGGTGTAACCAGGAGGTTCCTACCAGTATAAAGTTATACACAATCTTGTCTCACACACACACACACACACGCGCGCGCGTGCGTGCGTGCACAGGTACCGAATTACGACACACATCCCCAACTTCTCCTTTAATTTACAAGGGGGAACCAAAGTGCATCATATTTCAGAGGATACGGTAACGCTCCCGAAGTATTAACCAGGGCGGCCGACAGATTCACACGGCAAACCCCTGCAACAAGGAGCACACGCCAAATGCTTTCGCGACCAATATTATTCGCAATAAAGGTTTTTGGGTTACATCGTGTAAATATAAATGTGTCGTTAACCCACCACCACCACCACCACCAATACCCGACACAGCCAATCGATAAGGTTTGTCACGTGAACAAAACGTGCCAACTAGTTACTACTTGAGCACCCACCGGTGTCTCGGAGGGTAAACCCACAACATTCACAATTTAAGTACCGTGACGTTTCGCTGGTGATTACAACGACCAGCTTCATCAGGCGGTTTGCCAGAATTGTGAAGAAGTCCTCCTGCTTCCGACATGGCCGAGGAGGAGCACACACGCTGCTTCTTGGTCACGTTACCGAGAAAGGACAAATTCACGCACACAGACTGGCACGCCCGCACATACGCATGAAAAGTGCCTTGCTGTACCACATTTGGAAAACTACGCAGCGTTATAACGGTTACGAAAGGAACATAATCCCGTCTGGCTTCAACGTCAACCCCTCGTCGAGTGGTACATGTGTCTCCATGGGGAAAATAAACGCATTATTCTACCGCGCAAATGTCCTTAATTTTCGCCCACCAAGTGCAAACGTTTTGCTTTGGCAGTGGCGGTGTGCCACGCGCGCCAGATGCGCGCAAATCACTTGGAGCAACGGTTTTATGATCGCCGCGTAAAAGCGAGACGCAATTTCCTGCAATGGAATACTCGCGTGAAAATAATACGCCCAATAACCACCACGTGTCGCCCAGCCACGCGCGTATGCGCAGCAATGTTCTGAAGTGCGCACGCGTGCGTGTGCGTGTGTATGTACGCATGCCTGCGTGGCTGTGTGAACAGATGTGTGGGTATGTTTGCGTGTCTGTCTGCGTGTGCCAATGTGTGTGTGTGTGCGTCAGTGTGGGGAAGCGGTGGTGTAGCGGTCGATTCCCGCTCACGGCCAACACCGGTGACGATTATCCGAACCGGTCCCGGGCTTCCCCTCGGTCGACTCAGCCTCAAATGAGTACCTGGTGCGATGTGTAAACATCGCCACTGGGGAGATGAAGGCGGCAGGGCGTGGTGCTGGCCACCCACCCCCTCGTGTGCCTTGCCGGCCTTCATAGGTGCTCGCTAACAATTACTTGCCCCAAAAGTCTGTTAAGGCTACACGGGGGATCTTTGTCTTTGTTGTTATTCCACGCAGCCACTCCCCTTGCCCACTGCCAACGCACATTCGCCCAATGTGATATGAACCCCCCCGGTGATATGAACCCCCCCTCCCGTCATATTTAGGCACATTGTTCATAGCCCGGCACCTAGGCTGGGGTTACCATCCCATGTAGTGTACCAAAAAAAACATCGGGACGTCATATCACGAGAAAACGTCCAAAGTTGCCAGATTCTAAAATCACACCACAAATTTCTCGATTGGGATTATACACAGTAGTCATTGCACCCACCTGGCAAATGAATCCCCAGGTCACTCTTGCAAATGAGACTTGAGTTCATGTTCACACGTGGCGCTCTCGCTACCAATGTCATGATTTGTAATTGATTTTAGGGTCAGATCGCCATGCCAGTGTCGTACACCCTACTCCACCCGACATGGCCAAATAAAACTAAAGCTGAACTTTTTATTTGTTTACCAGGCAAGGCCCACCGAGCTACATAGCTCTTTTTCAGAAGCGACCTGGCCACGATTGATAGCACAACGCAGTGGCTTAGCACATGCAAATATTTATCAGCCAAATACTAACCTGAGGTGCACAAATCCCTGGGAGTGCGAGATGCCCTTTTTGGAGGGTGCTAGACATGGCCAGATTTTTTTTAGAAGATAAATCATCGAAACAAAAATGTAAGCAATGGCACGTGCGACTACGTTATTTACTTCTTATTAACATTGTAAAAAAATTGTAACGATTGGACACCAAAGAGATGCAAGGCTGCAGTATAGGCTTATACGTTTCTAAATGTGGAGGGAAAACCAGAGGACCCGGAGAAAGGTCAACGCGACCACGGCTAGAGCGGCCTGCAAACCCCAAATATACAGCAGGCGTCGTCGGGGTTGGGAACGAACCCACGACCTCCTGTACACCAGGCGAGGCAGTTAACATCTCGCCACCGTGGTACCCCGCCGTGGCGACAAATATCACGTCATATGGCCAGTGCTGGATTATCCTCGGAGCAAAAGCAGCTACATATGTAGTAGTAGCTACTACATATGTAGTAGTAGCTACATATGTAGTAGTAGCTACTACATATGTAGTAGTAGCTACTACTACATATGTAGTACTACATATGTAGTAGTAGCTACGGGCCCTGAACTTTCAAAGGCCCAGCGCTAAATGCTTTCAAGCTATCAACTCCGGTTCAGTGATTCTGCACTTGCTCTATTACTATAGTACTATACCGCCTTCAACTTTTACGAACGACTTAGTGTTTAAGGTGAGCTATTTGTCGTGTTATCTGGCTGTATAGCAAATGAAAAAAATACAATTACTTTACTATGCAATATAAAAATGTGTTTTAATATTTAAGTGTTTTTTTGTTTTTAAAAATAGGGCCCCTTTATAACATACGCTACAAGCCCCGCACTAGCTTAATCCGGCACTGCATATGACACTGCCGCCGCTACCGCCACCGCCACCACCACCGCCAACGCCACCACCACCACCAACGCCACCACCACCACCAACGCCACCACCACCGCCACCACCACCGCCATCCCCCACCGGTGGGTGTTGCCGGTAGGAGCCGCTTGCTCCGCTGCACGTGCGGGAAATCCGCGGCGCTGTCCCGGCTGCCACTGGCCCAGCTGGCACCCTGATCCAGCGCAGGCGACACGCGGCACCGCCAGTGCTCCCCCGCGCAGCACTCGCTGCTGCCACTAGGGGGTGGGTGGGGGGGGCGAGATTACAGGGCTGCGTTGGAGCCAGATACCGTACCAGATCAAAGCGAGCGGAGTCAAATCAAAGGGATCGTCGTCGGCTTTGATGAATACACTGCTGGATAAAAGTCTCGACCGTGCCCTCTCACAATCCTGCGATGTAAATATTCCACCCAGCGCGTGCCAACTGAGGGGGAGTGGGGGGTGAGCTCAGATTACAGGACTACGACATAGCGAGATGGGATACAGGTCAAAGCGAATCGAATAATATAAATCATCATCAATGGAATTGGCCAAACATCTAAAAAAAGGGGCATCATCCTGAAAAAAAAATAATCTTCATACTGCTGGCATGCTCTGCTGGCCACCCATGCATGTAATAACCAGGCTCAAGACAGCTTAGCTTCTGAGATCTTTCAGGGTGATGTGAGTTATGCGACGACGGTGTCTGTGTACATATGTTGAACTTCTTTCACATCATGCTTAGCCAACCGTGCTAATCGGAGGTGCGGGGGAAGGACAACAAACTAAGCATAAAAAGCAGTTCTTCAGAAATGAGTTTTCAATCTAGATTTAAATGTGCTTTTGCTCCAGTGGCTTCGTAATGTCGAAAGGAAGAGCGTTCCAGACGGCCGGAGAAGCGCGTCTGAAGGTGCGCGATGGGGTGACCGTCTTTGTCCGATGGCTACAGCCAAAAGCCCCTGCGAGGGTGACCGGAGTTTGCGTCATGGCTTACGCTCCTTAACGGGATCAGTAAGGTAAATGTGGTTTATTTGTGGCAATCACTTCGTGTGCAATGAGTGCGACTTCCTATGGCATGCGTCTTAATGCCTCATCATCTGAGCCACCAGATTGTTTCTGTAACCTGTCATTATCCGCGTTCGCACGAACAGAGCACTTGGCGCTCGTATAAAACTCACGAGGTTTGCTCTGGAGGCGAACACAATGTTTGAATGCTGAGCTGGCACTGCTGAGATCCTGGATTTGAAGCCAGGCAGACATCGACATTACATTTACTTATCTCTCCAGGAGATGCACACCGAGCCATTAGACTATTTTTCAGGAAGGGTCCTGGATTTTTATTTTAGATATATGTTTTCAGCCAATTGAGTGTTTATTAGTATTATTATACAAGGGGGGAGGAAACCGGAATAAACCCCACGCGCGCGCGAATGGGGCAACGCTCTATCCCTTGTACAGATGGAAACAGATGGAGATTAGTCCACTTCTCGTACTGGCTTTTCCTGGTGAGCCAGGGTATGGCACCACCAACCCTAACCTCCACAGTGCTGGATTACAGGAAATTTGGTCAGATCCGGTGCTTAATTTCAGCTGGAAGTTACCAGAAGAGACCTGAACGCAGTTATCGTAATTTTGCAGTCACACCACGTTCCTCTCTTGTGTCTAAACGAAATATGTTCATACGATTATTACAATACTCTTTGGGTCTTTCGGAAAAGTCACGTAGTTAGAAATAAAATAAAATAAAACAAATCACGACGTTGTGATCGCAACACAAGCGGTCGTGATCAGGCATTGCTGCTACATTGGCGTTGCTGCTACATTGGCACTGCTGCTACATTGGCATTGTTGATACATTGCCATTGTTGTTGCATTGGCGTTGTTGTTGCATTGGCACTGCTGCTACATTGGCATTGTTGCTACATTGGCACTGCTGCTACATTGGCATTGTTGCTACATTGGCATTGCTGATGCATTGGCGTTGTTATTGCATTGGCACTGCTGCTACATTGGCATTGCTGCTACATTGGCACTGCTGCTACATTGGCATTGTTGCTACATTGGCATTGTTGCTACATTGGCATTGTTGCTACATTGACACTGCAGCTACATTGGCATTGCTGCTACATTGGCACTGCTGCTACATTGGCATTGTTTCTACATTGCCATTGTTGCTACATTGGCATCGCTGCTGCATTGGCATTGCTGCTACATTGGCATTGTTGCTACATTGGCATAGTTACTGCATTGGCATTGCTGCTACATTAGCATAGTTGCTGCATTGACACTCGTACACCGCCCATGCTCCTGGTGCTATTGATGCAATTGGGCTACGCCCATCCCCAAACCTTTATAAACAGTTTGCTTTTAGAGGCTGACTCCTTTGCCTGATGACGACTGCTTGTATTGCCATCGAAACGTCGTGATTTGTTTAATTTTATTTTATTTCTACCCACGTGACTTTACCGAAGGAACCAAAGAGTGTGGATTCCCGCAGTCACGGAAGCTTCAAATCAAGATTACGACAATATCAAATATGAAGATGTCATCAGAGCTGAAGTCAGGAGTATTGTAATCGAGTAGTAGTGCCTTATGCCGATAATCCCTACTCCAAGCCAGAATATATTGCGTGAGAAAATATTATGTTACGTTTAACATTCATGGCGCAATATGGCAGGCAGCCTTACGATCGACAGTTATTAAACATGCACCGTAAAAACATCGACTCCTACGCATGTAAGTCAGAACAATCGTTAGATGTGTAAAGATGAATCACAGTGGAGACAGCCCAGGGCTGAAGGCATCCTCCTACTAGGATGGGACAACTTTAGACTCACACGGACAAAGATCCCCCGTGTAGCCTCAACCGACTCTAGGGGCAAGTGCTGTTAACGAGCGGCACCTATGAAGGCCGGAACGGTACACGAGGGGGTGGGTTGCCAGCACCACGCCCGGCCGCCCTTGTCTCCCTCGTAGAGATATTTACGCGCCGCACCAGGTACGTACGCAATTGAGGCTGAGTCGACCTAGGGGAGGCCCAGGACCGGTTCAGACAATCGTGGTCGTGACCAGGAATCGAACTCAGTTCGCCTGGTTAGTAGCGCAGGGCGCTAACAGCACGTCCGGGGGGGGGCACTATTCCACGCACGGCTCACCAACCTCTTGTTCAGAGAGAGGATGCTTCGCGCTTGCTCTCTGTAGTAGATCTCTTGCTGCAACATTCTCCTCCTCTCCATATGCTCTTCCAGAATGGCCTCTCTTTTCGCGCACACAAAGACAAAGATCCCCCGCATAGCCTTGACAGACTGTAGGGGCAAGTGCTGTTAGCGAGCACCTACGAAGGCCGGAACGGCACACGAGCTGGGTGAGTGGCCAGCACCACGCCCGACCGCCTTTGTCTCCCCGGTGGCGATGTTTGCTTACACATCGCACCAGGTCACTCATTTGAGCCTGAGCCGACCTATTCGGGAGGCCAAGCACCGGTTCGGACAATTGTCACCGGTGTTGTCGGCGAGCGGGAATCGAACCCGGGTGGCCGGGTTTCGCAGCGCGGCGTAGCGCTGAGCGCGAAGACAACGGAGCGTCGTCCCCTGTCGACAAACGTCAGCGACGAGAGCGAGCGTGACAGACGCGCTTCCGAACAGACGAGGATTTGAGAGGCGCTTCGCTGCACCGCTTCAAGCCTGAGCGGAGCCCCGTGACCCAGATCTTCCCCGACCCCCCCCCCGCACCCCCCCCCCCCCGGAGCTCGTCGCTCCGATCGGCAGAGCCGGCGCGAGAAGGAAGGCAAATACATCTCCCGCGATTATTAATTTGCGCCCCAAATGTGCACGCGGCAATCGCGCTCGCTGCACCTGAGCGACGTCGAACGGTCACGAAGTCGACGCGTCATCTCCCGCGCGCCGATCCACGGCTCCGCAATCCGCGCACTTCGCGCGAAGCCCGGCAGGCGATGAGCGCGGCGGGAGATCTCGCTCGAGTGAGACTGCTTCCCTGAGCTGCTGCCCGTTCGGGGCGAACCGGGTCACCCCCCTCCCCTACCCCCTCCCCTACCCCCCTCTCTACCCCTCCCCCGGGCAATTTGATGACCAGTCACTAAATTTCGATTTAAAGCTTTCGTGACTGCAAGGATTCATCTTCTTTTGTTCTTTCGGTAAAGTCACGTAGAATGAGAATACAATAATAAATTAATAAAATAACACAATAAAGCTCTGTCGTCCCGGCAGGGCTGTTCCTTTCACCTGAAGAAGGCTACTTGTGTTGTGGCCGAAACGTCGTGAGAATTTTATTGTGTTATTTTATTTCATTAATTTATTATTTTATTCTCATTCTACGTGACTTTACCGAAAGAACAAAAGAAGACCAGTCACTATTTAGGGTTGTTGTTTTTTTTCATTTATGAAAAAATTCTAGTCATGTTGTTGTTCTTTTTATTTTTTTATTACGGTGAACGTCAAGGGCCCCCAGTGGCAGCAGGGCAGGACTTTAGGCAAAGTACCTTCAAAGCTCACGAACGCTGCCGTACGTTCCTTTGTTGTTGAGCTCACGACAAACCCCGTTCGGAACTCTGCAGCTCGCAGTGCGTCACCGCAGCCCTGGGAGATGATGTCCGGGAAAGCCCTGAACTCACTTCGATTTCAAACCAGGGGGACCGGCTTTCAATCCGCTGCGAAATATCGTTCGTCGCGTGTCAATTCAGCCAACAACTCAAAGTTGCACGGCTGCAGTTGACCGAAGGAGGTGGAAACGCACATTTGAACATGATGCCTTTCAATTGTGTAAGGCAAAAGCCATTGGTGATCGGGTCAAGACACTCAACTCGCCACGCTCTACAACCCGAATTGATTACGGGCCGGAATTTAAATCCAGGATCTCAGCAGTGCCGGTTCAGTGTTCTGAGACCTCTGAGCTTCTGGGCCGCCTAAGGCAGAGAGGGGCCACTGGGAAACCACGACAAATGGTTGTTTGAGTTACAGCTCCGCGCAACCCGCGTTATGCACAACAGTTAGAGGCTGTCCTGTTACACCGAGTAGGAGTGGCAACATAGCGATTTTGAGTCATGAATGAAAATGATTGTGACAGCTGCAGTTTGGTAATTTGTATTGTGGAGGTGGGTGGGTTGGTGGGGAACATTCTCACCGCGATTGTAAAATTGGTCATCATTACATTGAACGACCTTCGTTCAAGATATTTTGCGGGTTTCAGTGGCAGAGAGGAGGCTCTTAACACATCCACCAGCCATTGTGGTGTTTCTCTATTTCCATGCCTTTTTTTTCTGTCCGCCCATAGCGACTTCGGCGTTTCTACATCATTACAAATTGGCCAGGTGTTCCGCACTCAAATGGAAAGATTGCATCAATCAGCACCGCGCTATCTGGCTGATATGTTCGCGGTACCAATTTCCACCCACACAGAGCACCATCGACATCAGTCGGCAGCACATAATCTCACCCAGCGAGACATCGAGGTACGGCCCCCTGTAATTTTGCAGTACCCGGCCTCTCTACTCACTCACTCACCCACTCACGTATTTACTAACCCACTCACTCACCCGCTCACTCACCCACTCACCCGCTAACTCACCCACTCACTCACTCATCCACCCACCCACTCACCTGCTCACTCACCCACCCATCCACCCACTCACCTGCTCACTCACGCACCCACTCCGCTCAAAGTAGCGGTGTCTGGCACCGTCTATGTGAAACTCATTGCCCGTCAATGTCCATAATATGTCTCTCACTCTCGCCTAGTTCTGCAGTATGTGTAGACTCAAGACGGATATGCTCTGTAAATCTTACAAAGCATAACTATAGTGCCTTCCTTCGTCGTTGCCTTGGCACTAAGACAGAAGCGAAGACGAAATATAGCCATTCACTTTACTGATTGATCGATTGATTTTATTCCAAATGTATCAGGGCCCGAGGAGCAACCAACAGCATGAGCTAACTGACTCACAGTCTGTTTATTAAAGCTGGATGAGACCTCCTCATGGCGTGTTGGTCGCAAGGTCGGTCAATAATTTTGGCACGGGTTTACCACGTAGGCTTTCGCGACACATATCAACCATAAAATCGTTGTTTTTTTTTTGGGGGGGGGGGGAGGGGGGGTTAGATCACGATCACGATCTAACCCAAAAAAACCCGCACTGTAAATTTTTGATACGCCCGAATTGTTCAGCTCCCGCCGCTCCCGAACAATCCGTGGCCGCAGAAGCTCCCGACTCGCGGAGCGTCGCGAGCAGCATCGCGAGCGACGAGAGCCCACTGACCGCCGTCGTTCGCCGCCCAGGAGTCGACCCCCAAACCTGCTGGAGACGAGCACGCTGCTGGGAAGGCTGAGCCGGCTGTATCGGTAGTCGGCGGAGAGCGACCGCGGCTTCCGGAGGGTCACGCCGTCCGCCTCGCCGCCACCGCCGGCCGCCCCGGCCGCCCCGGTCCGGCGCACCAAATTGCCGTTCCTGAAGTCCGAGTTGGAGACGGAGCGAAGGAGCTGCCCGAGCGTCGGCGTGGGGGCCGCTGATGCCGGCGGCGGCGGCGGCGGCGGCGGTCGCGGCGTCCCCACCGGTGGCGCCCGCAGCGCGGTGGCGGGACAGCGGCGGGGCCCCTCGGCCGCTCGGCCCGGGAAGGGGAACGCCGAGGTGCTGAGCAGCGTCGGAGCGGTGGGGAAGTGGGGGCTCCACGGGGCCGAGGGGCGGACGTGCGGCGGCGACGGGGGGGCCCTGCGCATCTCGGGCTGGCGCCGTCGACGGAAACACGCGCGGGAAGGTCGAGTCAAGGTCAGGGTCAGAAATCTCTCTCTTTTTTTTTTTCCACTGGCTTAACCGAGCCGTGCCAGGAAAAAAAAACTGCATTAAGGTTATATCGATATGTAAAAGCAACGTTGTTGGATTCAAGATACGTGTAGAGGTCGTGCGGGGACATGGTGAGGATTGCGTATATAGGTCATGCAAGGGTCAAGGGACCATGCCCAACGAAATAATTAAATAAATGCGCGAAAAGGCGATAGGGGAATGACGGAAGGGGGAAACCTAGACGAAACAGATTGGTGTGAGAGACGAGGGGATGAGAGAGAGGGGATATAAAGACGGGTGAGACAAAGGCTACTGGGTAGGAGAGGCTGGACATCAACAATAGCGTTGTTCGTGCCCAGCGAGTGAGTGTCGGTGTCCGTGTTGCATGGATGAATAAAGTTCCCTTGGCAGAGCGACACGTGTCGACTCCCTTTCAAATGTATAAACTCTTATCCACTCCACCTTCAATGGTGCTGTTTGCTGTTGGCCGCTTGACATTTTGGGTCCAGCAAAACATAAGATATTAATAAAATATACATTGGGTTTGACATCCGCACGTGAGAGAAAACCAAAAGTGGCCAAAGAAAACGAACACACAAGGAGAAGATTGCCCGGTCATGAACAGAGCTGTCTCATCACAATCGCCCGCTAAGTCGAACACAGATGCAGACCGACAGGAGTTGCGTGATGTCGACGGCAAGTTAAGCATTTGCAAACCAACTAGATCGCTTGACCACTCACAATCCGGCGCGATGCACTGCTTCTGTAGTTCCCCGCTTTCAGATCTGAGCGCCACAAAGCGCGAATGCAGTTTGTCGTCCTCAAACACCTCCGGTGGAGCAACAAGAAGACAACGGTCACACCAAACTACTGAACCAGACATTCTTGCATTTCCTTCGGGCTAATTGTTCGTTTGACGGAGCGATGACGTGAGCTCATAAGGCAGGAGTTAAATGAACTGCGGCAGCCAAGCACCGTGAAGGGAGATGTTTGATGGTGAACATGGGCGGGGGCTTTCATCCAGCAGTGAATAGATCACGACGAATGATGATGGCGAATTTTTTCACTGGTGGGTAGTGGTGGCACAGCCATGAGTGCACTTGGCTGTGAACCTAATAATCTAGTCATCTAAGTTCCATTCATGGCCATGGTTTACATCGGTGGCGAGGGATATGGGGCGCTGCAGTGGCTATGAGATGTTAACTACCTCGCCTGGTATACAGGAGGTCATGGGTTCGATCCTGACCCTGACACCTGTTGTGTATTTGGAGTTTGCGTGTCTCGCTCCCTTTGACCACGTGGATTTGTTTCTCCGGGTTATCCGGTTTTCCCCTCCACATTTAGAATCATGCGTTTCGAGTATTTGGTTGCTATACATTTCCACATGATAAGCCACTTCATTGAGCTATTAATTGTGGCCAGGTCGCTTCTTAAAAAGAGCTACATAGCTCAGTGGGCCTTATCTGGTAAGATATAAAATATTTTTTTTAGTTTAGATATCAGAATTACTCCTGGGTGCCCTCCTTCACTAACCTGCACTGATCAGCATGGTGAAATATGGTCAAACAATTGCCATAACAAACAAAAACATCATCACTCATTAATAACACTGCGTTAAAAGGAAAAATATAATGTGACGTTTCAGGCAATGGCCCTTCTACACACCACATGAAATGTGCTGTTATATATGTCATTTCAAGGCCACAATGTGATTGAATTGTTTTTGTTCATTACATTTGTGCAACCACTGCCAATGCAGCGTCACTAAATAACCACCATAACAGCCACAGAGTGTGGAGACTTCTTCCAGCAACGGACTTGCAAATGCATTATTTGCAAATGCAATTATTATTATCTGACTAGTTTAACGTTTCACTACAAATCGATGACGATGGCTTAAACGTAATTACAATGGCTTCCGATCTGAAAAAAATACTTTCTTCATATGTGCTATGATGTAACAAACCTATCATGAACATTCCTTTCGTTGGTTTATACAGTTAGTTTTTTTATAAATGTAAAATTACATTTGTTTTCAAGAACATAAGATCACTAATAATCGCAGTACTCTGAGAGATGGTGGTGGCTTGGAGAGGCCTTCATCCAGGAGTGGATTAAATATAAAAAAATTAGTCCAGGTCGCCAGTTGCTTAGCACAGTGCGTTATCCACTGCCAACAATACATTAAATTTAGTAATTCGGTTTAACTGAAGACATAACAATGAACTAGGTGAACACACAACGAGGTATTCAATTTTTAGTCTCGAAAATAAGTATCCTTAATTGCTCTATTATTATTTTTATTGTTAAAGTCAGACTAAATGTAATGGCATCAACTTGCTTTCTTCAGTTTTTACTCAATAGAACAACTAATGTTCTAAACAAAGTGCATTTTTGTTCATCAGTGGCATTTTAATGATCAGGGTTTTTTCTTCTTATACCGATTTCTGGAAAATTTGGACACCGCAATTAGGCTTATTGTCGTGTGCATCCAGACAATCAATGGCAAGATGACATGAAAAAAAACAGTCCTAAGGCTACATTAAAAACGAACACACAGACTGTCAACGTGCCAGAAACCTTCCACTGTATTGTGGGCATGTGTTCCCGATTTTCTGATACAATGCAAAGTAATTTTAGGACCATCTGAACCCCCCCCCCCCCATCATCTAGAATGTTCACGAAAATGAGACATCAAAAGGATAAGCCAAGTTCTCGATGTCACTTCTGCGAAAGTGGTGTCACGTGGCATTGGGCAACGTCACGTACTAGCACGGAGGCATTTCACTTTACCGCATGAATGTAACGTGTGACGACCAAAACAAATACGCTACTTCGTCCTTTTAAAAAAAAAAGCTAAATCCGAAATGTTGAAATCTGAAACGCATTCCTCTCTCGTTCCACTGCTTTTGTCTACAATTGTTCTCCCATCAACTCGTTCAGTTTCGTTCATTTCGCACGATTGGTGTCCTGAAGAGGGCCACCCTGGTCTTTGTTGTTGTTGTTATCACAGCGTCTGTTGTATTTTCCAACCAGCAGAACAATCTGTGCATAATGAGGTGTCATTATCACCAGAAACCCCGGAGGAATGTTTTGTATCTTTAAGAAGGCATTGGGGAGTCGCTTCCAATTGAAATGTGTTTTTTTCCCCTCCAGTTTAAAAAAAAAAAGTGTTACGAGCGTTAGTACATGCGCGATTCCAATTTAGCAGAACATTAACGCATGTTTGCTTTGCATCGAGGTATTATATTGACAATAAAGCATTTTCAGTTTGCATCCTTATTTTCCAAAGTGCGCCATATTGCCTAAGCCCACCGGGGACGACACCGAATTAGCACAACTTGACACGGCAATTTACAAAATTGGCGAAACCCTTTGAGCTCCCACGGCGAACGCATGAAGCTGATGACAATTGCAACGCGGCTGGCAATATCCTACCATTGTAGCCCATCGAGAACCAACGCACGGCAACTGCGCCTCGCTTTAACATTTCCCGCAGCGGCACGTGGAGACAAATAACTCACGCGTAAATACACAGCAGTACTTCGCATGCAGACAAAAATAAGGTAAGGGGTGGGGGGAAATGCAGTTGCGCGCGCTCACGTGTCGATGGCAACACAAGCGGTCGGTTTTCCTGATGACGACCGCTTGTGTTGCGATCGAAACGTCGTAGTTTTTTTTCTGTTATTTTCTTTGAACCTATCTATATACGTGACTTTAACAAAAAAAAAGATCCAAAGAATACGAATTCCTGCAGTCTCGAAAGCTTTAAGTCAATGTGTGTGAGCGTGTGTATTTTTTTTACGCGGCTGTTTCCGCGGATTTTCATGCGACACGGATGATTACGCACCCAGGAGCAAGCTGCCTCCGCGTTCTCCTGCAAGCTCTCTGACTCATCATCATCATCATCGACATCCCGCTCATCCCCCAGGGGTACGCTGCGCGTCTTGGTTGGCGTCTCGTACAGAGAGTCCACTCCCGCCTGCGCCGTGGGGGGGGGGGGGGTCACACAAAAAACAAAGCCATTAACGCCCCTTTCTCTCTCTCCCCAACATATCCGTCGGTGGTGGCGGTGGAGGGGGGGAGGCGAGGAATACAAAAAATGCAACAGCGATGCCCCGCGCCGGGGCTGTTTATCACGCCAAGTCCCACGCAAGGCAACAGCGGGGAAAAAAAAACCCCACCACTGTCTTCCCGTTCCTGCCATATATCTCTCAGCAGCATAAAATATTCGGAATTTTCTCGATTTTCTCGTCCCACCCCACCACCACCACCCCCCAAAGCCGTCAAAGAAACACTGTTTTATGTGCTTGTAAAATAAAAGAACCCACCACACGCGAAATTGTACACTCATGCACGAAGAGTAAACAAAGACAAAGATCCCCCCCGTATAGCCTTAACAGACTGTTGGGGCAAGTGCTGTTTGGGAGCATCTATGAAGGCCGGTACGGCACACGAGTGGCGACGTTTACACATCGCACCAGGGACTCGTTTGAGGCTGAGTCGACCTAGGGGAGGCTCAGGACAGATTCAGATAACCGCCACCAGTGTTTGGCCGTGAGTGGGAATCGAACCCGGGTCGCCAGGTTCGTAGCGCAGCGCGCTGACCGCTACATCACCGCTCATGTGCCCATGCACGAAAAGTATACACACACACGTACGCATATGCACCAGGAGTATTCACACAGCGACACCATGCATTCCTTGATACATACATCTCGTGCAGCATAACATATTCAGTGTTAACCACTGTTTTTTTTTGGGGGTGGGGGGATGGGGGTCTCAGCTGTCAAAGCTATTTTATGCGCTTGTAAAAATCCACACGTGAGTGCAGCCAGAGAAGACACACATGTGCACAAATAGTTTATATCATGACATCTCTACCTTTCATTCATGTACCTTAACGCGGCATCAAATATTCTCGAATTTCTCTCTCTCTCGTTTGCTCCCCCCTCTCGCCGCCACCGCCACATCCCACCAGCTATGAAACCCCAGGACTGTACTTGCACGTGTGCACCAATGGTATATCCGCTTTGTATTTCATATTTATAGATCCATACATTCTGTATCCACATCTTACATAGGAACGTAGGCTATCGCGACCAGTGTTCGCATGCAGTGTCATTTGGGTTGGATCGTCACGTCGGTTTCACGCGCGTTTTTTTTGCCTGCTTGATTTAAGTCGCCGCATCGCCCTCCACCACCCGACGGAGGCATTGGAACGAAGTTGGCACGCGATGGGAACACAATGGGCACGCGAGAGCTGAGCTGTCGTTGGCATCCTGATGATGGGCCGATGTCATCTCCAGCGAAACGTCGTACCCCATTGTCAATGTGTCGCTCGCTCGTCAACATTGCGGGGTTTCTTGCTGAAGGGTCAATTCTGCACGTTTGCCCACTTTAATTTGTTTTACTTGCTATGAATCGTAATTAGGAGGAATTTGGCTGGAATATTATGATTCGCGTAAACTGATTCATGCAAATTTAATCACGTGTACTATAGTTCATTACATCGGTATAAGTTGTGTACGTTTGCACGTTTAATTGCTATCACTATAGCATGTTAGCACTATCAAAGACTAATGTAATTAAGACAACACTATAATTGTGTATATGTATAGCTCTGTTTACCATCAGAGCTATATACATAAACAATCCACGATGCATCCACGTTATGAAATCTATAGAATACAATTTACATTCACAATTACAGTCATTACTTAATCAATCATGAATAACCGCCTGAAGTTGTGAATATTATTTAAACAAACGTGTTTGCGAAAGAGTTGCTTGTGGCACTGACGGAGGCGATGCATAAATGACACATTACACAACAACTCATCTTACTTTGTTTTTCTTCCCTAACACCTACAAATAGCACGGTTGGCTACGTACGGTGCGAAAAAAGTTCAACATATACACACACACACAACAAAATCGAATGTGTTACAAGGAAAGGCCATTGCCCTGAACATCCTCTATCGCTGTATATATCTGTTTCCTTTTGGGGAAAGTGATATTGAACTAAATCAATATATATATTTTTGCCAAGTAAGGTCTACTGAGCTATGTAGCTCTTTTTCATAGGCGACCTGCCCACAAACGATAGTGGCTAATCACGTGGAAATTGATAGCAGCCAAATACTCGAAGCGTACGATTCTAAATATGGATGGAAAAACCGGAGGACCCGGAGAAGAACCTACATGACCACAGGAAGAGAGAGAGAGAGAACACGTAAACTCCAAATATGTAGGCGTCCAGGTCAGGATCGAACCCATGATCCTCCTGTATACCGGGTGAGGTAGTTAACATCTCGCCACGGTGGCGCGCAATATGTTGAGATATTGACCAATGTGTTGGGATATTGACCAATGTGTTGAGATATTGACCAATGTGTTGAGATATTGACCAATGTGTTGAAATTTTGACCAGTGTGTTGAGATATTGACCAGTGTGTTGAGATATTGACCAGTGTGTTGAGATATTGATCAATGTGTTGAGATATTGACCAGTGTTTTGAGATATTGACCAATGTGTTGAGATATTGACCAATGTGTTGAGATATTGACCAATGTGTTGAGATATTGACCAATGTGTTGAGATATTGACCAATATGTTGAGATATTGACCAATGTGTTGGGATATTGACCAATGTGTTGAGATATTGACCAGAGTGTTGAGATATTGACCAATGTGTTGAAATTTTGACCAGTGTGTTGAGATATTGACCAGTGTGTTGAGATATTGACCAGTGTGTTGAGATATTGACCAATGTGTTGAGATATTGACCAGTGTTTTGAGATATTGACCAATGTGTTGAGATATTGACCAATGTGTTGAGATATTGACCAATGTGTTGAGATATTGACCAATGTGTTGAGATATTGACCAATATGTTAAGATATTGACCAATGTGTCGGGATATTGACCAGTGTGTTGAGATATTGACCAATGTGTTGAGATATTGACCAGTGTGTTGAGATATTGACCAATGTGTTGAGATATTGACCAATATGTTGAGATATTGACCAATGTGTTGGGATGCTGTAACGATATCTTACTTATATAGACGCACGGAGGGCGGGGGGGTAGAAGGGGGGTGGGGGTCACTTACGCTGTAGCAGTGTATGTAGGACATGTAGTAATCCAAGCGCGTGTCTGTCGCGTTACTGTCAACAGAGCCCATGCTCTTCTGCTCCGGCGGCGTGGTTCCTGCCTTTGCTTCACGATCTCTGGCACTTCTCCGCGAGCTGCCCCAGCTCCGGCACTTCTGCTGCTGCCGCCGCTGCCGCTGCTACTTGCCGCTGATTGCTGCACGCGAGCACTCGCGATTGTGTGGAAGTGTCTCGAGACCCCGGCTCACACGGAGCGAGCAGCCAGGCGTGATGATGCACGACGCACCGCCTCTACCGTGTGTGCCCGTGGTTCCGCCTGTGTGTGTGTGTGCGCCTGCCTATGTGTGCCAGTGTGTGTGTGTGTGTGCCTGCCTATGTGTGCCAGTGTGTGTGTGTGTGTGCCTGCCTATGTGTGCTAGTGTGTGTGTGTGTGTCTGTCCGAATGGGGAGTGGTGGTGTTGCGGTTAGCGCGCTGCGCTACGAACCTGGCGACCCGGGTTCGATGCCCGCTCATGGTAAACACCGGTGACGATTATCTGAACCGGTCCTGGGCCTCCCCTAGGTCGACTCAGCCTCAAATGAGTACTTGGTGCGATGTGTAAACATCGCAACTGGGGAAACAAAGGCGGCCGGGCGTGGTGTTGGCCACTCACCCCCTCCTGTGCCGTGCCGGCCTTTATAGGTGCTCGCTAACAGCACTTGCCCCTACAGTCTGTTAAGGCTATGCGGGGGATCTTTGTCTTTTTTCTACCCGTGTGGGTGGGTATGCCAGTCGGTATTGTGTGTGTGCGTGTATCTTTCCGTGTGTGTGCCCCTGGGTCTGCAAATGTGTGTCTGTGTGTGCCAGTGTGTATGTGTGTGTATGTATGTGCCGGTGGCTGTGTGTGTGTGTGTATGCATCAGTAGCTGTGTGTGTATGCATCATTGGCTGTGTGTGTATGCATCAGTAGGTGTGTGTGTGGGAATGCCAGTGTGTATGTGTGTGCCGGTGGCTGTGTATGTATGCATCAGTGAGTGTGTGTGTGTATCTTTCTGTGTGTGTGCCAGTGGGCCTATTTGTGCACGTGTGTCTGTCATTGTGTGCCATTGGGTGTGATTCTGGCGATGTGTGTGTGGATAGGGCACTGCACAACGAACCTAGCGAGCCGAGCTCGATTCCCTCTCACAGTCAACACCAGTGACGATCATCTGAACCGGTCATGGACCTCCACTAGGTCGACTCAGCCTCAAATAAGTATCTGGTGTGGTGTTTAAACGTCGCCACTAGGAGTGTGCCGTGGTGCCGGCCACCCACCCCCTCGTGTGCCGTGCCGGCCTTCATAGGTGCTCGCTAACAGCGCTTGCCCCCAACAGTCTGTTAAGGCTACCCGGGGGACCTTTGTCTTCGTATGTGCCGTGATTCTGAGTGGCAGTGGATTTGAGTGTGTGTCAGTGGCTATATGTGTGTGCCATTGGCGGTGTGTCTGTCCGTGTGTTCCAGTGACTCTGCGTGTGTGCGTATGTGGTTGTGTATGTGGTTGCTCGTGTGCCAGTGAGTGAGTGTGTGCGTATGTGTCCCCAT